CATATGCGCATTCACTTTGCAGGGTAGAGCTGTATTTTAAATAATTGGAAATAGCTGCAATGAGCTACTCTGACCGAACTTCAGCATTCTTGGCCACCTGTTGTGTGTATTGCATGCTATTTTTTGACCACCCACAAGGCATTTAGAGTATGTTGCTGTGCAGGTTGAATAAATTAATAAATAAAGTCAGTAATGAGAAAAAAATTAATAGAAAAAAGAATCAGACAAAAGGTGAATTGGTACATTTTATAGTTACCTATGTAATTAGCAGAATAAGCAGTGGGGAGCATGTTATAGTGGCTATTCTGTTGTATATCTGTTGCCCAACTTTCTCTTTTTTTATAAGTGTATAGCTAATTTGGGCAGCATGGCTCTAAATAGCATGCTACCAATGGGATCCACTTCTGGCCTGCAGCCTTTTCCTCCAGGTGGTGTGGAAGTAGTGCTTAGGTGGCCAAGGCTGATGAGCTGTTTCAGTGGTTCCTTTTCTGCACAGCCATCTGATTTTGGCCAAACACATCTTTGTTGGGTAGAGGGGAATTGGGCAAAAATATACCCATGCATATGGTATAGTATCTAGGAGTAAAACTGCTTTACTAATAGCACACATCTAGGGACTCTTAGAAAACTGAGGTTTGGGTGATGTTATGGCAGTGCCTGGCTTAGGTCCTGATTGTTTTAATATAACATATTCCTCCTCAGGCTGCAACACTATTAGAAGCCACTGAAGTTTTGATAAGTACCTGGTTTTAAATATTTTTTGGTCAGAGACTGAGGCTTCATGATGTAAGTCCTCAGCTCTTAAGCCAGTGTGTTGCTGAAATCAGAGACATACAGCAGCTTTGCTTTCTCCTGCAGCCTGTGTTTAGGCATTGAAAAGCAAAGTTTCCTGATGGGTAGAATCTTTTTTTCTTCTTCTTTTTTGGTATTGATATTTAATCAAATTTTCAGTGTCCTTGTGTGCCTGCCCCTTGGTAAACACGCAACAACACTGTTCTTTCAACAATTTTGCTTATCTTTGGTGGTATTCTTATATGAACAGTCCTGCCCTATAAAGGGATTACTAAGGACTTCTATAATATATATGTTTCTTGTAGAGCAGGATAAAAATTGATTCTTGTTTAATGAGGCAATGTGGCTTTTACCCATTTTTAGCATTATCATATTAATATTACCATTAACATTACCCATTTTAATGTGTAATTTTAACATTACCACATTAATACTGGCCTATAATATGGGCTGAACAACAATAGATAATGTTTTTAAAGCTGTTTGTTTGTTTTTAAAGGAAAGCTTGGTGGCTAGATGAAAAGGTCCCACAAATTTCCATTTGTTTTCTAAAGTTTGGTCATGGAAAATTAATTAGTATGTGAAAATATCATTCCTCATTTTGTCCTTTTCTTGACAATTTTCTGTCATTTCCAATTAATATATATATTATTTTTAGCCTCTGAGGTTAGTGTTTTCATTATTTTTTTCCTCTAGAGATCTTTCTTGTGTGATTATGAGGAGGAGATGGTGGTCAGGATATGCAGACATTCCTTCTGATGGATTTGGCATGATGAAAAGCAAATGGGGAGAATGTCAAACCCAGCAAGGAAGGCAGGACAGTCTGGCAAGACTCTTCTGGTCTTTGGAGAGTTTCAGGAAATAGGAGGGGAAAATTGTGCAATACCATTAAAGCAAACCTTGGTCCATAAATAAATCTAAGGAGACTGACATTTGTGAGTGGGTTTTTTTCTCATATAAAGTAAGCTAAATGTTTTTGCCATAACTGCAGAGAAGCAATAAAAGGCTAGGGAAGTCAAAGGTTATAAACAAAGCATACTGTGCCGACAGAGGATTCATAGATGATGACAAGAAACAAATAAAGTGAATAAGGCCGGTACTCTGTTCTGATAAATTTCATTGATTTCTGCACAGTGTCATTATGGTTGCAGCCTGCCCTGTTATATTGTAGCTCCAAACCTTTCATTATGGCTTCAGATGATAACAGCTGTTGAAACGCAGCAGGAGGTTGCGGTGACTACCATGGGGGTAATACCATTTGCTAAGAAAATAATTAGGAAAAACCCCACGTCTGGGTAGCTTTTATCTGCCTGCGGTGTTGTCCTTGCAGAGGAACATTGTATGCCAATACTGCATTTGTTTCCTGGATGAGTTCATGAAGCCTTCATGAGAGCAGAGGTGCTCTATAAAGCAGTATAATCAGACAGATCCGACTTGCTGAGTCAGTGCAAATGGTTTGCTGCTGTGCTCTGCTCGGACTTCATGGGACCGCTGTGTGAAGACTCTCCAGTGTCCCTCTTTTTCACATAAACATAGGTACCTGAAGCTTTTTGCTGCTGTGACTACCCTACTGTCAGTGCCACACTAGGCAGTTTGTGCCTAGATCAGGTATCTGCTTACACCAATAACACCAACTTAAACACGTCTGTAGCCATGTTTAAAAAAAAAAATGGAAAGCTAAAACAGGAACCCGTTCCCCAAATGCTGTGTGATTTCCTAACAGTATAAGGTGAGGTACAAAGTAGCTCCAAATCCCAAGAGTTTTGACCAAATCTCTCCTTACCCTAGGTAAGCACAAGTCCAACCATTATTTTCTTGTTTGTTTCTGATCTGATGCTGAATGAGGAAGGGGGCCTGAAACACAGTCTTAAGGAACTTTTAGCCAAAGAGAGCTCAGACTGTAGGGGTGTGGTATATAAGCTGATACTGGCATATGCTACGGGAGTGCAGGAAAGCTGCCAAAGCACCTGCAGGCTGCTGCTTGGCAGCAACATCAGAAAGGTACCTGGCTCCCTCTTTCTTGCTAATAATTGGTAAAAGACCAAGGAGAGTATGCATATGTGGAGAAAAAAAAGGGATAAGAGGACAAAAGGAACAAAAACCAGGTCATGTATCTAACACTACTTACAATACTGAAAAAACTGTGAACTGTTAGTTATTTTGAAGAAACCCAAGCTCTAGCTATGCAGAGATGAATGAATTGGAAAGGAACTCCTCTTTATTCATTAAATGTACTTTAAATGTACTGCATGGAGATACTTATTGTAAGATTTCCATTCCTCTGCAGCCCACCCTGTCGTATCAGCTCAGGGTGCTGCAGTGTTCCTGACTCTAAAATATTTTTGGAGGATGGCAATTCCACTGGAGCTTTTTTGTTCTTTGCGTTTATGTGATGATGATGTGTATTTGTGGGCAGAAAAGGTTATTTATTTAATACCATCATTGAAGTAGCACTGAATCTATCATCTACTTCTGCCTTTGACCTAGTATATTGCTTGCTGCAGTCCTGTCTGCCTCACCATACTGAACCTTTTACTCTTCTGCAGCTTTTGAGTATGAATAAAAAGCTAAGGACAAGTGCAGGGAGTCTCAGGGATGTGATTCCAATGACTTTCTGCAGAAATATATTTCAAGGACAGGTGTGGGCTGTGGGGCTGCTGTCAGCTAGGAGGGAAGGTAGAGTACAGGTCGGATGCCATCACAGAAGAAATGACATGGCTCTCCAGAAACCTGCCTGCTTGCCTGCCCACCGCCACTTGTTGCTCTTCTTAAAGACACTATGGTTGCCTTACTTGCTTTCCCTGGGCAAAAAATACTGCGTTAGGGGTGTGATAAGGGATACCTTTAACTGGAGGTGATGAAAGAGTGTGAATTATTGAGCACTGGAATAGGGAGAGGGGACAGGAAATTCTTCTGCTACCTGAACCTGAATCTTGGTTACACCTGTGACTCTGCTGTGACACTATTTCAGTTGAAAAGAAGGATATGGGCATGGAGACTCAAGTGCTGTAGTTCTTAACCTTCCTTATGAGGGCATCTAAGTTCCGAAAGTCAGGTCCATCCAAACCCTTTGTCTTCACAAAATTTACACAGAGAATAAATCTTGGCCAGTGTATGTGTTCTGTAATACCTTTTTCTTCACGACTCTGGAACACAGTTATATCTTAGAAGTTTTCACAGTCCCATTGATGTTTTGCAGGGTTCCTTTCTTGCAGCACCATGGAATGCTGTGTTTCTCTTGGGTAGTTGCCACACCACATTGTCTAGCCCTAGGCTAAGGGATTTTATTTATTTTTATTTCACATTGTTTCAACTGTTTTCACTTTTATTTTATTTCCATGCTCCAGCAGAATTTCTTCATGAATGTGGCAGCACATCAGGTTTCTTGGTTTATGAGTTGTAGTTAGTTAAATAGCCTGCTGGATTTGTTTGCCCTTATGTGAGAATTTTCATACTGTAGCAGCAACAGATTGAAAGGTGACATTGAACTCTTACCAAAGTGAGGGAAGAGATTGGAAAGTTGCCAGAACACTGCTGATCTGAGCTTTTTCTAGCTGTCATGTTCATGTTCAGTTAAAGTCCCCAGATGAGACACTATCACTCTTTTAAATGCAAAAAGAAATCTTTGCTAGAGTATATAGCAATGTAATTTGGAATGTAACTCTATGCATGGTAAATTGCATGGACATATATACATTGAGATCTGTCCTGTACACACTCTGCATTGTTTGGTAACTATGATTTTTAAAAAAAATATTTTTTTAGTGGTTGCTTTTCTGAGCCTCTGTTGCTTATATGCTTTCTGGTCTTCATTATATAGGTTTTCTGTTACTAAAACTGCATTCAGTTACATTCTTCATCTCTTATTTTTACATTTTTTTGTATTTAAGCCAGTCAAATAATCAACTAAACTGTCACTATGAATGAAATCTGAAAACATTTGTTTATCAGTAGCAAGAGAAACATTGACCATCACATCTATAACTTAGCTTTCAGTCTTTTGTTATTTTCTTGGTTTCAGTGAACAGATAAGTACTGTTACTGCTCATAATAGAGTGACTGTTCACAGAGGGGTGCTGAAGGCTTTATTGTAGTAATAAGGTGAAACTGATATGAAGAGAGTCATTTTGTGCAATAAAACATAGCTCTGCTTACTGATCTAGAAAAGAAGGAAATGTCTGATGACCTCCCTCTCATATCTCTTGTAGGATTACCTCGACTGTATCGCTGACCAGACCAAGCTGTCCCTGGGGACAGAAGAGCGATCAGCCCTGTTTGGAAACATACGGGATATCTACCATTTCAACAGGTAAATTCATATTTGACTAAATGAAAACAGTTCAATAGCCTATATTAATGGGAGGGGGCAAACCAACCAAAGGTGCTTTTGTCACTCTAATATGGCCAAGATATATAAATTGAGAAATGATCTACTTTTGATTCTAAGCAAAGTTGGGTTGCTGAGATCAGATTTTTATTGGATGAATCAAGTGTGGTCTCCATTTTTGTTTTTATGCTGAGTATTTTTATGAATGTAAGCTTAACCTGGTCTGTGCCTTAACTGAGCCTAATGCAAGACCACTGTGAATGAAACTCTTGCCTTAATAAAGAGATATTTTATTCCTACTATATAGGGTCCTTCTGTGTACCTATGTACATCACCCAGATCTGGGATTTGTAGTGTTTTTATACTACTAGGGACTCCCTGAGTTAATTCCCAAAACTGTGTTGAACTGTGTTGTTCATTTATTGAAGTCTTCTGTTCAGTATCTTTCCAGCCTTCCTAAAATTCTGCAGATGTGATTCTAGTGTACATTGGGGGCCTGGAGTAAAATTTCTTGCTTGTATAGCTAGTGCCACATTGTGTAGGACCTCAGTGTCTGCAGTTTTAGGAGCATGACACCGCTACTTTTGTCTGAATTCTCTGTTACTATAAAAATAATTAACTTATTCAGCATTTAAGGAAAATCTGAGTGTTTTACCAATGCAAGAAATATATTGACATAAAGTTCTCACATCTTTTATATCCCAATATTCCTGTAAAAAGTCTTTTAGCTTTGCTATAGTTGACAAAACATCTCCCAAAATACTGTGTTTTTTGAAGAATAACAGACAATTTAATTGAATCAAAAGAGGATTCTGAAGTGGAGTGCTTGCGTCAAAAGCATCTTCAATGTTTTTCCATCATCATGGGAAGTTACTTTAAAGCGATTTAACTGCTGGGATCTCTGTTCAGTGTCAAGGGAAAGAGTAAGAATGGATCTATTCAGAATTTACGGACAAAGATGAAACCTAAAATCTTTTCCTGAAACTTAAAATAGCTACTGCAGAGGAATGGAAATATGCTTAACTATAAAGCTGCTGTGTCTTGCTTCAGCTGCAACAACTGACTTGACCAAATGTCTAACAGCTGGAATATACATGGTGGGAGCCTGCTAAAACAGGCCATGAGCCTGTTTTAGAGCCATGAGACAATGATTGTAAGCTTACAGATTCTCAGGATGGAAAAACACAGTCCTGACTGTTACGTTTTCTGATCCTTCAAAAGCTAGAAAAATGACAGACTTGGTAGCTAGGACACATTTATGCCAGCATCATTGCAAATATTACTAATAAAAATACCTCCAAGTATAAGCAATCATTATACAGAATAATTGAGCTGTGGGGAGGGGGGAAAAAAAGATTTGCAGTGGTTAAAAAGAAAAAAAGAAAAAAAAAACCAACAAAAAAGCAGTTTTGGGCAATTTTAGAGATATAGATATTTTAGAAAGGTTAAAACTCACCTGAAAGTTGTCCAAAGCATCTAGTAAATTACGAGTGTATTTCAGGCCTTCTGATATAAAGTTTTGCATGGAAATTGAGAGTTTTTAGAACTGAACACTCATTGTAGATCAATATAGCTTCAAGGATTAAGTTTACTCCTGTTTGAAATTTGGCATATAGCTTCTGGGTCCTAAATGTACTCAAGAGCCTTTTTATTTATTTTTCCTGTCAGAAAGATGTCCACTTGGCAGTTCTACATTAGTAGTTTCAGATGATTTTTGTGAGCATGATTTTATAGTTTCAGAGTTACTTTGTTTTTCTCAGCTTTGAATTTGACCATTAATCAAAGGTTTTAGTCTTGCGTTTTTACACAGACTTTCAGATCTGAGAAATTTCACTTCAATAAATGAGAATTTCTGTCAGCTAAACTACTTAGGATTTTCAGATGTTGTGTTGAATGGAAAAATGATGGTCAAGATGGTAACTGCTAGTCCCATGACTGTGATCTCTTTTTGGAAAGCTATTTCTTAAAGCAGAATCACTGACTGTATACTGGTCCACTGATCCTACTGTCCCTTGGGAAAAGCTCCCTCAATATTGGTTTACTTATTTGGAAGGGGGGAGTGTTCTCTAAGTCAGCAGTTGCTGCCTTTCTTCCCTGACTTCCCAGCTGAGATTCTTTCCAGTGTCCCTTTAGGATAAATTCTCCATGATACCATGACTCAGTTCTGAAAAGGAAACTCTGCAGAGAAATATGCTCAAGTTTAGTATTCTACCAAGACTTAGGAGAGGTCAAACTGAAACTTCTGCTGCTGACACAGATCATCCTGCATGGTCCTTGACCATCGGTGACTACTGAAGGACACAAATACAGTGAAGGAGCCGTTTTCTGAAACTGCCATACTCAGCAGTTCCTACGCTCTGAGTTTCACAGTGGTAAGGTCTGGCTTCTTCTTCTGAGAAGCCTTCATAAAGAATTAAAGCATCCTAAAAGGCATTATAATTTGACTTATTCATTTGGTAAGATAATTAATGCACTGTATACAGAATTGTCAGTCTCTTTATGCTTACCTCTCTCATCCTAAAAGAGTTAGTATTAGCTCTGTATGATGATCATGCAGATTCAGACTTTCCCAGCCCATAATAACCCAAGCTGTATAACTCAGTTCATGGTCTTAAGTGGCAGTGGCACTTTTATCATGCTTCAGTCTGAATCTTGTTAATGATTCAGCTGAGAGAGCATGAAGTTTCTCTTATAGCGCTCCCTCGTGCTCCCTTCTGGCCTGGGTGTTTGGCACAACTGAGTTGCAGAGGCCAAGAGCTGTGAACAGCATAAAACCTCTGTATATTCAGGTGAAGGGGACTAATGTTTTTTTCTATTGTTTTTTCTGCCTCCTGCCAGGTACTTAAATGTAGTCTATAATAAAAGCCCTGCTTTTTCACATGTCAGCTTGGTATTATAGGGATTTATTTAAGTTTCTCAGGATGACTGAGCATGACAGATTTGCTTTTTTTACAGAGGCAGACTGCTCTTACCAATCCCATGCTTACCAGCCAGGTGAGACAGAAGAGAGTGCAGTATAGGTAACAAAATCTTTCAAAAAACCAGCCTTTATACTATGGGCTTGTGCTGAAGACACAAACCACTAGCCTATTTACTGCATAAACTTGTACTGATTGGATGAATATATAAAATCTTTAAGTGTTCTTTACTGTATCCTGAAGGAGAAATAATGCGGTTTTATAAGGAGACCAGCAGAAATAAAATGACAATCAGGGTGCTACATACTCTAAGCCATCAGGAGAACCTCTTCCTGCCAGACAGCAGGAATCGTTCTGAGCCTGTTTGGCATGTTTGATGTTATTTCCAAAACTCATGTGTGGGACACAGTCAGTCAGTATAACTAATGGCTACTGGTCACCATTGCTACAGTTTGCTGCTTTTCCTGATGTAAAAGAGGTTCATGACTGTGGGGTATCAAGCAAGGGTTATATTTTTATTCCTATTTTGATGAATGGAGAAATTGAGGTGTGGAGGTGAAATTGTTGCTGTACAAAGTGACTTAGTGACCACTGAATCTGAGGTTTCTGCCTGTCTTTGTTTTTTGACTGCTTTCTGATTTCTCCCTTTCCTTCCTCCAGTAATTAGAGAAGCAAAGAAGAAGGCAGGAAACTCTTCAGGTTCCTTTTTGTACATACAGACAGAAATTGTGTCTGCGTACAGGGGAATAGGGTAGTTCCCTAGATACAGGCTTAGGAGCTCTTAGGCAAAGCTTGCTCAGGGAACCAGGTGTGAATTGAGAGAAAAGTAGCCCTAAATGGAAAATCATCTGTGGGAGTTGGGGGGGAGAAGGAGGAGAAGAAAATTCTATTAAAGCACAATTTAGCAGAAAACTCAGTTTCTTCTCTCATTTTTCTGAGTTCATTTCAAGACTGAAGACTGTTCAGATCAAGGAGATACCCTTGAGGTTTTCTTCTCCTACTTGAACTCTTTCTTTCACTGAATTTGCTTTTGAGAACTGAGTTTCATACAACGGCAAACAGGCTTCCTTATTGCTTTGCTCCTGTTACAATGAATTAATTTCCTTTTTGGTATGTGAAAATTATAAAAGTCTCTCAGTGAGGTGTTGTTTTCGTGCACGTAGAATGTATATATTCCCTTCCAGAAAACTTTTTCCAGGCTAACCATTTTTCTTCAGTAAAGAGACAAACTATAGGTCGACAAATTTTCTTCATTGAGCTTCTTAACATTCTTCTTCTATGTGTAATACATCCCTGGTTCTCACCAGTATTTTTCAGAGCAGCTCCTCATCTCCCTGGGTCAAGTAAAGCTCCTAGAACATACAAAGTCTTCATAAGACAGTGCATGTGCTTCAGTAGCTTTTAAATTTTCTTAGTTTTAAATCATGTTAGTTGATATACAAGCTACACAACTGTTTGACCACACCATTATGAGTATTGTAGAAGAACTGTCATAGAATCATAGAATAGTTTGGGTTGGAAGAGGTGTTTAAGGGTCATCTAGTCCAGCCTCCCTGCCATGAGCAGGGACATCTTCAACTAGATCAGGTTGCTCAGAGCCCCATCCAGCCTGGCCTTGAATGTTTCTAGGGATGGGGCGCCTACCTGAAGGAAGGGGCTCAGCTTTGCTTAGCAGATCACCAATCCATGGTCATTGTGATGACTTGAATTTTTAAGTGTGTGGAAATACCATTTCCTTATAGTTCTCCTCTGCCTACAAATAAAAAACCCGGTGACTGGGGAGTCCTTTTTTAGGACTCTCTGTGTCATTAGGTACTGCCGTGAATGGTGAAGCACTGTCTGGTTCCAAATAAACAGATGTGTTCATTTCAAGGTGTGCCATAATTGTCTTACCTTTTCCTGTTCTTTGTTTTAGTGAACTTCTGCAAGATTTGGAAAACTGTGAAAATGATCCTGTGGCTATAGCAGATTGTTTTGTTTCCAAGGTAAGTCCGCAGCATGACACCAGTTTTAGAATGATATGGGTAGAGGAAATAGATTTATTAGCTTTTGACACCTAATTCTGATAGATTGTGTGACATCAATCAAGAAAAGCCAGCAAATCTATGGAAAGGGAAGGAATTTCTCTTAGTAATTGATAAGGATATGCCTCTGATTTGCATTTCTAAAAAAAATCAAGAAAAAGGTGTCATTTGAATTGGTGTATCTGAACTGATGGAGCTGTTAAGAATTCAATTTTAGATCTTTTTTTTGTCAACTACTACAGGGGTTCCTTTTTTTTTCTTACATTTTTTAATGTATGTGATCAAGTGGTACTCCAGTTATGCCTTGTCAGCTTAAAAACAACTAGAGAATAAAACTTGCTTGCATTTTTAGAAAGGGCAATAATAGTAACATACTTGTGGCCATATTGTTTTCTGAATCCTGCAGCTATACCTTTAATTTTCTTTTTAAATGAAATGGCCCAAAGTCTAGCCTTAAGATTCAAATCTCATCTCTCTGAAATGCTTTGAATTTTCTGAACATGTATCTTTATTCTGTTGGGTAATACTGAAGCCAAAAAATATGGAGAAGGAGAAGTTGGGTGCAGGAGACATACAGGGAATCAGAGTAGGTGACTTTCATTGTAGGAAACCCAGAGAGCCAGTCAGGGAGAAGAGGAATGGCTATAATAGGTAGGGCAAAAAGAGATTAAATAATTTGGGCTACAGATGATTCTAGTTCACTGCAGACTTCACCAGAGAATCTACATAGGCCTCGAATCTGTAGAGCCCAAATGTGTTAAGAAATAATGCCATCTCCATGGTATTTCTAGAGGAAGAGGAATGGAAGAGGGGTCATGTACTTGTTTAAATTTGGATAATCTCTATAGATGTTTGCCTTTTTGTATTTAAAAACAAAACCCAAAACACACACACAAACACAAAACCAACAAAAAAACTCCACACAGAAAAACCCCAAAGAAATCAGAAAGCCAGACCCTGTCATGTTTTATACTTTGTCCTGAACTCAGTATTGCCAGCATCAAGCATTCAATGTAATAGGTCTAACACATGGGTTTAGGATTAACTAAACACCCTCTCATGGTGGCCTAGTAATTTGTTTGGCACTGTTGTGACACAAGGGATTTTATCGTAACAGGGAGTGATGATACCAGCTCAGTGCTGCTGTTTCACCAGATCACTTGCTTCAGTTGAGTTTGAGAAAGCTGTTATTTACATAGTAATTGATCTTTTGTAAGCATTGAGAGACCTTAATGTTGGTACCACTACCACAAAAGTAGAATGTATTTTTGCCCTATTGCAGTGGGGTTTATGGCATGTTGTTATTACTACAGATAGCCTGGACTGAATTGAAGGAGAGAGAAAATGGGATAGCGCAAAGTCCTGCTTCTGGAACAGAATAATCTGATGTGCACACTGGGTCTGGCTGACTAGGAAACAGCTTAGCAAAAAAGATCTGGGATCCTGGTGGGCAAGAAGTTGTGTGTAAATCAACAGAGTGCCTGTGCAGTGAAGGCCAACTGGGAGGCCTTCAGGATATTTACAGATAAAATGGTTTGGAGCTGGTAGATCTTTCTGCTGGATTGCTTGCTTATAGCTAGGACCTCTGGGACTACTCCTACTTGGATATGAAACAGAGTTGGTGCAAGTGATAATAGTAAGTCCAGGAAAAAGTTGTGTTCTCATTCAAATTGGCCAACTGAAAGGGCTTATCTGGTAGACTTTCTGGCCATTAGTTCTAAAATCCATCTGCATATCATTGCTTGTGCTTTTTGCTCCCTTGTCAAATGCTTTTAGCATTTGTATTATTGGCAGGCAACTGCCTGATGGCTCAGAAGTTGCTAGAGATTGCAGTCCTAACAGGCATTTTTTAGCTTCATCCAGACAAGTGCAAACACTTAAAAGCAAAATCAAACAATACCAAAATACCCCACAGTTCTGGTTTTGGCCCTGAAGATGTCATTACAGCAACTGCTGACTGTCTTAACAGACTCCAATTGTTCGTTCTTGGTTGCTTGTGTCTTCCCAGCACTGAGTAGTGGAAATAAAACTGCCTTTTTTGGCAGCATGCAGTCCTTCAAGTCTTACGGGACTTTGGCCATTTATTGTTTGATTGCTTCAAGTGTGTTAGATCTTCACTGTGAGTTAAGAAGCATGGGAATATCATGATGCTGAAGTCATAGCTCACAGCCTTAGCTAATGGATGTAGCTGTGCTGGAGCTTCTTGAATGCTTCCAGTGGAACTGTGCTTAGGTTATATGATCTGTGGATCTAGAGCCATTTTTTCACCCTACTGGTTCAGCTGTGAATACTGTAGTTTTTGGGAATTTTAATGTATAATCAGGTTTTCTCTGTAGGTACTGTTTACTTTTTGCACTCTATGAAGCTCAGTAACTTCATAAAATAAAAGTCATTTCTTTCTTAGAATTCACATGAAATGATGCAAAGTTGGTTTGCATGTGTAACAGAACAGTCCTCCCTCTTTGTCTAGAAGACCTGTATTAACTCCAGTACGTAAAAGGTCTTGGAGACATTTTGCTGGTAACTGTAATTGGAGGCTGATAAAAGGGTTCTAGTGCAAGCTTACCCATAGCTTAGTTATTCACACAGAAGACTGTTCATAAATTTTTTTGCCAGTTCAGTCTTTCATTTTCCTAGTAATGATGCCAATGTTCATTAGAAAATTGACTTCAGTATTCTACACGTTTACATGTAAGTGAGTTAAAAAGGAGAGCTGAATTCTGGCATGTTGCTTTTCTCACTCAGCACCCCAGAAATTTAGAACATATGTTTTCTGACAGACATACTAACCAGCTTAACCAAGGAGAAAGAGAGAATTACTCTAATCTAGCATCTCAGTGAAGAGGACATCCAGGCAATTGACTTCAGTTTGCACACTGACTCCACTCCTTTTCTCAGTCTCCATTTTCTTCTAAAGTGCCTTTTATGGCTATAAAAAAGCACAGTGCACCAAGAATTAAGGGAGGATCGGAAATGTATGTGGAGGAGATGCACTGTGAATTGATTCCACAATGGGAGACCAGCTAAGTATATATAGCTGGGATATGCTCATGCTTGGCTTTGCCTTGAGAATGACTTGCAGTCAGTGCAGAGGAGCTCTCGGTTTGAGTCTTCATTTTTTTGCAGCCTCTACCACAACAGTTTTTGGACCCCAGATTAAAAATGATCTCTGGAGCAATTCCAGTCTCTGTGCAGAGATCAGTTTTAATCTGGTCTGAAGACAGTTGGTGTCAACAAAACAATTTTTAGGCTAAGTTTAAAGATGTCCAAAGAAATAAGGATGAGCATAGCTGGTGTTTTCCTTACATTGTGAAAGTATTCAGAAAAATATTGAATCCATCTTAGTTCCAGTTTTTCTTTTGCTTCTGAACATAGTTCACAGCACTAGCTTTAGCCTGCGTGGCTTGTGCCCTGATATGCTCCCAGTGACATGGTGCTCTCTCTGAGGAATCTGTTGTGAAGTAGAGCAGACCAGCTGGGTGTGGGAACTGAAAGTCCCTTTGACCATGCAGAGGTGCCAGGTACCCAGGCAGGCACTGGGAGAACAGCCATCCTGAGTAGTGTGGTTTTGTCGGGTCAAGGAAGAGCATCTCTTGGAAGTGGCTCTCTAGGCCACTTTCCCAGTGAGTTCACACAAATCCAGCCAATGCCTAGGCAAGGTGTATTATGTTGATTCACAAGAAATCTGCAAGTATGAGTGCATATGAACAATCTTATCCTGGAGGCAGAATACATGTGCTTGAATTTCTCTTAGTATTATGCTCGCATTGCTCAGTAAAAGTAAATGCTCTCTGATGGTTTTGTGTGATGAAATGAGCTGTGGTGCACTGAAGCGAGTACACATGTAAGTGCAGTAAGGAATTTGGTGTCATGTCTGTTCAGAAAGCAGAGATGATTGTGAAACCATTCTTAAGGTTTAGAGGTATCAAGGGCATGAGAAACTACCTTTTTTTTTTTAATAAAAATTTGTTCCATTTCATACCTATACTAAAATTCTTTTAAACCCCCCAAAACCCCCATTAAAAGTAATTTTGACCTTCTGTAAAAAAAACCCAACAACCGAACCAAAGAGGGACAGTGTGAAAAGGCTCACAGGGATTTCAGACGTGCTTTTGGTTTTGAGGGGAATGTGCACGCAGTACACTCTATAACCCTGAAGTGTTTGGCCTTGTTTATTTTACAGATAGTGCTTTCATTTGTTAAAATTTCACAGCAGATATTCTTTTCCTTTCTGTTTGAAAAGCAGAATAATGACGTGACTATATTTATGTCCAGAATATATATATAAAAATAAATTGGCTGAAAATGTTCTGTACTCTGCTTTTGAAGTAGTTCTATAAATTGCATTATTCTGTTATCATAGCCATGGGAATATATTATAATTTATACCAAAAGCCCCCAAACATAAACCTTGAATTAATGTATGCATATATAAAATAAATCACAGTTTTTTGCCATACTGAATTTCATCCTAATGTTCTCTCTTAAGCACCCTGACTTATTATGTGTGCTAACTAGCTTAGTAGTGATTGCCATAGAAAATTACACACTGTAATGTCTGCAGCACTCTGAGGTTTGTTAATTTTTCATTTTGAGTGGAGATGGTTTTGAGCTGTGACTGTGGTTCCAAACATGGACATGAACAGGCTGTGACACAGGCTCACTGTCTCTGGGTATGGACATGGGGCATAAGTACACTGCCATAAAAATTAGCTGCAACAACAAAATTAGTTCAAGTGTGAAAAACCAAGCTAAACTATTTAATTGTATTTATATCAAGACTACATTTTGTTGGTTTCTAAGAGAAGAGCAGTTTAATAAGCTTACAGCCCACCAGTGAGTAAATGGGAATCGCAGTCTTCTGGGGAAACATTTATTAGAAGTTTGCTTAAGTTATTTTTTTCAGAACATTTATTACTGAAATCCAGTAAGGCATATTGAAATGGATTGCAATGACTTGTACTCATGCAGAGTAACATCGTATTTTATACAAGGTCCTTATGGATTGCTGCTCAGTGGAGAAATGAATGGCATAACTTGCTTTACCCCTGTGAGAGGGGTACAGGACTAGTGCTGTTGGAATTGGGGAAGGGCACTGCCTGAGATGGCTCTTTCTGATGAATGGCAAAAGGAAAAACAACCAAACCCAAACAATGAGAAACAAAAGCCACAGCCTGCATCAGCCCTCTCCCCAGACTGTGGTGCTCCTCAGAGCACTGCTGCCTTCTGTGAAGGCAGATGTTTGGTTTTGCCATTCACCACCAATGACTTCTGGTAGACAGCCCCTCCTGGAGCACAGCTATTGTGCTGCAGAATGCCAGAGCCCATTCTGAAGATGTTTTGTGTGGAAACTGGGGTCTTATTTACTACTGGAGGATTTCATTTTATCAGTCTAGGGCTTAGGAAAGAAAAAATTATTGATTTTGGGGGCACTTTGCCATTCTACAGTGCTTTCTTGGTCTTTAGAACTCCAGCAAGCAGCAGAAATTGTGTATTATTTGGGATAGAAATTGACAGTCAGATGTGGATTTAGAGCACATGGGAGTGTTTCTGGAAACCTGTTCTTGCATAGAATTAAATGATGATTATTAAGAAAAAAATTAGGCCAGGGAGGAAAGAAATGAACCTCAAACTTTAGCTCTGAGAAGCTTGTCAGCTTTAAGTTTGAGCAATTGCACTGTGACAGGCAAGTGTGGAAACCCACCCAAATCTAGTTCTAACTTGTTTGGGTGATAGCTTTCTGCTTTCACATAATTTACTTTAAAAAAAAAGATCGCTTTTGTGGCTTCTAATTTCACGCTTAGGCTGTGCTCAAATGTGAAAGTATTTATAATTGCTTGAAAATCACATGGCAAACATAAGCTGCAAAACTTATTTCTCACCATAAGTATGTCTGGCACATGGTGTGATTCTTGGGGCTGTCCTGTGCCGGGCCAGGAGCTGGACTTCAATGATAGTTGTAGGTCCCTTCCAACTCAGGGTATTCTATAATTCTATGATACATGTGTACTTTAGCACACAAAAAAATTAGATATGTGCAAGCCAACTGTTTGAAGGGTGTACGTGTAGTGATGGTGTTTTGGTTTGGGTTTTGTTGTTTGGGGTTTTTTTAAGATGCATAGATTTTCATAAGGGTACCTTGGAGGCTGTGTTGCAAAGCCACTTGTTTTATCTCTGAGTAGATTTCCTTGATTTTTCCTTCAAGTAAAGGAAAAATCCCTCCCCCCCATAAATAGTGAAATTAAATTCTGGTTGTTTTAGGACTATCACAGTGAAAGCAGATAATTCATTGATCAGGAACTGGAGGTGTTGTCTTGGCATCATCATCTTTATCTTGCACACGTTAGCTGCCAGTTTGACAAAATCTCAATATATGCAAACTTTTCCTCCCCATGCAGAGTGAAGATTTCCACATATATACGCAGTACTGCACCAATTACCCAAGGTAGGAATTATGGGTTCCCTTTCTTTGTTTGTCCTTTGGCCAATTTAAGTAATACAAGTTGCAGCTTATGCAAAAACAGAACAGCTTCTCCCCCTCCTAAATTCGAGGAATGGCCAAGGAGTTTACCTTTTCTGTAAAAAAGAAAAAAATACAATAATTTTTAAAAAATACTCATCTAAAATTTTGGTTTGACTGTTCTTGTTGTTCATTGCTTTATCCTTCTTTAGAAAATGATGGTCTTATTCTGCAGCACTGCATATATAATTCCCAGTAAGAAAGAGTGGTTGTAGAAACAGCAGTGATTAGAATAAGAACCAGCTGCCCTCTTTTACAAGGAAATAAGAAAACAATTCTTGACTTTATCTACAAACTTACTGAGACAGTGTCTTAAAGGTATGTATTGATGTTTTCAGGTCAGTGGCTGTGTTGACGGAGTGCATGAGGAACAAGGCACTGGCCAAGTTCTTCAGAGAGCGGCAAGAAGCACTGCAGCATTCTCTGCCCCTGGGCTCTTATCTCTTGAAACCTGTCCAACGCATCCTCAAGTACCACCTGCTTTTGCATGTAAGCGCACATTAGAAATGTATTTTGTTTAGGGCTTCTGCATGTCGGAGTTCTTGCCTCTGGTACAAGGCTTGATGATTAGAAAGGTTCTGGGTTTCCTTAAATGCTCTTTCATTTGTCTTCGTCATTTCACACCATATGCATATATTTGGGATGGGGAATTTATGGTAATTGTTTTAGACACATTGAATCAGTCTGTGCATAACAAATAATTAGCACTTTCTTTGAAAACTGGTCTGTAATTCTGAAGTTCTTCAGAAAATTGTTGTCATGATTAAACACTTTTGTACACAAATTTATTATTCCAATGAAGAACAGCATTTTTCCACATATCGCAATGTTGGGGGTGATTGAAAGAAGGACTACATACATATAAACACCCTGACTGCTAAGAATTTTGTGTAGAGGAATGACTGAGGAAGTGGGAACTCTTTCCAAATTCAGTGAATTGAGTTAAGCAAGTTTCAGAAATTCCTGCTTTATTGTTAATGTTTTCAACATGTGTTTCCTATTAGAGAGTCATGTTCTAGTGAAGTGTAAAGACACTGATCCTTATTTAAAATGTCTGGCACTATTCTGCTCTCCAACCTTAAAGTAATGCTTCGTGTATTTCCATCAGGGTTTTGTAAGTGTGTAGATATGTTCTGTGTTTTAAGAATGCCATTAAATACTGTCTGAAAGATCTTCTGTCAGTGTGCTGCACTCTCTTTCTGGGCCTCTCTGCTCACATCGGCTGCTGCAAGTGTAGTCACTGCTAAACTGACCATAAAGGCTTGACTTTGTTAGTCATCTTGTGTTAATCAAATTGATAGCAACATGCAGTAGTAACAAAGGCAGGAACATTGCATTTGAGTGATTGCAATGCAAAGACAAAATAGTACAGATGAAAATATAGTATTGTGTCCAACTAGAAAAATTCATTTAGGAATAATGGGCCTTTTTTTTTTTTTTCCGCTTGTGTCTTAGGAAATAGAAAACCACCTTGACAAGGACACTGAGGGCTATGATGTGGTGCTAGATGCCATAGATACAATGCAGAGGGTGGCATGGCATATAAATGACATGAAAAGGAAACATGAACATGCCATCAGGCTCCAGGTGAGTTCCCAAAGAGATTTTATGGGTGTTTTTGACTGTTTTTGTCGATATATATGCAATTAACATTTTTTAGTTTATCTTTTCTTTTAATCTTTGTCAGTCATAATTTAGACTCCTGTTGAGCATGCCCGTGGCTGTTTGATCTTGGAAAGCATGGTCATAACTGCTCCAGGAAAATCTCAGACATCTCTACCCTACAAGCAGCATCCTGTAAAGCATTTATTTTGCAGTAATATGGAACTTAAGATAACTCTTCTTTCTTCCTTTCCCTCAATTGTACAGCACTGCTGTACAACCCTAGGGCATGGCTTTGTTCAGAAATCCTGTGGTTTCCGATTTCTCCCCTTTGTGCTGATTAATTTTGTTTTGAGGCATTTCTTGTGCTATTCTTGTTTAAGCACTTTCCTCTTGGGCTTTTGCAGACTCATTATCAGTTGCTTTTGTGAAAAGCATAAGCCTAGAAACATGATACTTAAAAAAACCTTAACTTTGCTTCCAAGAAGAACTTTTGAGGAGAAAAGACAAAAGCTACACCCCGAATAACTTTTGGCATCAAGAGCAAGCTCTTTTGTAGAATTTTTACCTGCATTCTGTTTCCTGGTTCTGAGTAAATCGTGATTTTAGACTACACTTTCATCAGAAGTATTTATATCGCTCTAAGAAAACTGGGGAGATTTTTTAGTTTACAAAAGGGAGTATAGGCTTATATAATTTCAGAAATCTATGTCATGTTATGTCCATGTTATGTCATGTCCATTTTTTTTTCTTTTTAACATAGATGAAAATTATTCACCTTTTTTTGTGGTTTTCTTTTTTTTTTTCCTGGAGTTTTTAATGTTTGGGGTTTGTTTTGTTGTTGTTTATGTGTAAGGAGAATAGGGTTATATTTGACAATGTCTTGCATGCAGCAGTGTAACCTTTTTCCACACATTGATGGAACTACATGTTAATGACTTTTAATTACAATCTGCTATAAATTTGAGTAATTATATTTGGCAAGAAAGAAGGTTAAGGGCTTTTGGGAAAAAAGATTCTTTTGTTTTTTTGATTTATTGAGCTCAGCTGGCAAATGTGTGGGGTTGTGGAAAATGTTCATGTTCATAGTTACCCTTTAAAAAAGTAAAATCTGTTTCTGCAGCCATAAGGATAGGTCTTCTGTGGGCTATCACATTGCCATGTGGTTTGTAATGCTGCAATTACTGTGACAGCAGTGCCTGTGCAAAGTCTCCCTCAACAGAGGTGGACATGATCCCTTTGCTGTACCCTGACTTATTTACAAGTTCCTGGAGAGATCTGATAAAATGCAACTTTTTTTCATTTATGTTTGCCTTTTTTTTTTTTTTTTAGTAACAGCTGCGTGTATAAACCAAACTGGGCTGCTTTAAGGTTTTCTTCCTGTGAATGCTTTAGCCTGTGTTTGTGCTTTACTTGTACTGAGATGTTTTCTTGCTAAAGTCTAGTGTGCTAGAGAGCCCAATCTAGGATGAGGCAATCTGTCCCTGCTTCGCTTATGCTGCCAGGTTTAAAGTCTGATGGATGTTTTTAAAGATTTCTCTAGTTAAAGGTTTAGTCTGCTCTTAGAATTTGCTGTCCCATGCTTCAGTCCTATGTCATTGCCACTGACAGAAAACACAAGCAACTCAAGGAAATAAGAATAGCCATGGTTAAGTGACAGCCTTGTGAAGATGTTCTTAGATGTTCCAACCCTTTTTTTTTATTTTCTTAATTAGTAAATAAGGTGAGAAATATCTATCTTATCTATACCAAACATTGAAATACAAGCAAATCTTCAGATGTTCAGTTGACCAAATCACTCCTGGTCCTTTAGTCTTCTGAGAATCATCTCTTCAATCTGAACACCTCACGAAAGTGTCTTCTGTGATGGGCCTACAGGACATGGACATGGCATTATAATTCATTCAGTGGGAGACCACACAGTTTCAGGAGGATACCTAGGGTGAGAGGGAAATGTTAAGAGGAATTGATTAGGGATGTAGAGGAGAGAAGGGAACAGACGTGAGAGAGACTGATGACTGCATTACAAAAGATTTTCATCTCTGAGAACATGGGGAGACGAGGTTGCACTCTTTCATTACAGGCTGCCCCAGGGAGCTCGGGGCTGTTTGCTGGGTCCATGCAGAGGCAGTAACGAGTACTCAGGGCATGTTCTAGTCTGGGCTTTGCAGTAAGTCTCCAAGCACCTGGCTGCAATGTTGCACATAGCCTAGCAACCTCAGTACTGCTGGGTTGTGACTTTCCACTATTGGATGCTGAACATTATGTAGAAGGGTGGGAATGGCCTCAGCAGATCATTTGGGTCTTTGTTTCAGTAAGGTCTCTGAAATGAATGTTGGTTGTTCTTTTTTGATCTTTTTCAGGAGATACAGAGTTTGCTCACTAATTGGAAAGGGCCAGACCTCACAAGTTACGGGGAGCTGGTGTTAGAAGGAACATTTCGCATTCAGCGAGCTAAAAATGAGCGCACATTGTTCCTCTTTGACAAGATGCTGCTAATTACAAAAAAGAGAGATGAAATGTTTGCATACAAAGCTCACATACTGGTATGTCAGAGAGCAGGTGGTAATATGCTGTCTACAAAACTCCTCTGTGATTCACATCATTGCCTCTTTTTGTTACAGTGTGGAAACCTGATGCTTGTTGAAGTAATACCAAAGGAACCACTTAGCTTTAGTGTCTTCCACTACAAAAATCCCAAGATGCAACATACTGTCCAGGTATGATAGAAACCCCCCTACCGAGTGGGTAACCTGGCTGATATCCATATGCTATTTATGACACTGCATAGTGCAGGAATGCATTTTTCTCATGGTGCTCAATTTTTTTATCAGGCAAAGTCACAGCAAGATAAGCGTCTTTGGATTCTTCACTTGAAGAGGTTAATTCTTGAAAATCATCCTGCTAAAATTCCTGCCAAGGTAAAAAAAAACCCAAACAAAATCACTAACTTAAAGCAATGTTGTTAGCTGCAAGATGCATGCAATATACAGAGTTTAGGCTCCAGCTGGTTAATTAACATGTTGTTTACTTATATCTTTAAAAGTTCCTCAGAATTAATTGGAAAGTTCCACTATAATTATCTACAGGGATTGGTACAGGAGTAGAAGAACTGAACTGGGTGAACAGCATTTGTCTGCTAAGACATAAGTAACATAACTGCAGTGTCAGAAAGCTTGACTATAGGAGCGTATCTTAGCTTGATACTGCCTGTCTGTAGAACACCAAGATGCATCAATTACAGCATGTGTAGATGTTACCAAGCTAATTTTAATTGATCTTGGTTCAGTATCATACCAGTGAAACTGTTGGCAGCACACACTTCACTTGACAACTACACACACCCATCCGGAACCCTGCGTCCTTAGCTGGGACATCTAGGCCCTTTTTGGTGAGATAGCTAGTAAGCTTTATGCCAGAGAAAATGAGGCACTAATACCGTGTTCATAGCTATAATATCTTGGAATAAGGAAATTTGGTCCTTTTATTTATGAAATCCAGTCAGAGCTTCAGGTGATGCTTCCCAATGTAGCATATACCACCTCTCAAAGGAGGTTAAGCCTAGTTAGCTCTTGCCAAGACACAGTAGCCACTGACTCATGTGGAAACAGGATTTCTTTCACACAGAGTTTATGGTTGGTTTTTAAGCTTCCCTGACTGTTTTTTCACTGAGTTTTTTGCTTTAATTGCTAAAAAATGTTAACTGTGACTGATGTGTGCGCTGTACTGTACTAACTCTCATTTTCAACAGTGCAACAAAAAGAGAATTATGGGAGAAAAAAGCCCTATCAGTTCCTAGTGCTAGTTCTCCTCTTAATTCTTAATTGTTGACAAAGTCTATTGAAAGTATAATGTTTATGCTAGTATCCATCCTTACAATGTAAATAATCGCTGCAACTTATTAGATTGTAAAAAAAAAAAAAATTGTAGCTTGATCTCAGCTTTTGTATCAAATTGTTTTCTTACTTCTTATTCGATTTTTTTTTATCTGTGGAAGAAATGCATAACTAAAAATATTTTCTGCTCTGAGAAATAATGGCACTTTAGAAAGGAAAAGTCTAACAAAATAAATCTCTGTGATTATCTGCACATTTTTTTATTTTATTTTGTTTCTGACAAACTGGTAGTTGGTGTTGTGAGGCTTCTCTCTGCCCAGTTTTTGGAGAATTTAACAGTAGTCCACATGTGATGCCTGGTGGAAAATTACTGAACTGCACCTCTAGAAGGGCAAGCAGGTTAGATGCGGTATATTTCGGTTTAGTTTATTTTCTTACTTATTAGCTGATACGCTTGCTAAAACATCCAGTTTTTTTTTTCCTATCAAAAAGGGGAAAAAATTTAAGCAATCATGAGACACTTTTTATCCTGCTTCAGTCTCACTTAAGCCAAATTATGATTATTCTTTTTTAATAGCTTTACCTCAAGGAAACTCTTGAAGGAAGGTTGATAGCATTTTATGTGCCAACAACTTCAGAGTAAGAAAATAATAAGGACGTTAAACTATTTGATTTTTTAGGGAGGAAATGTTCTGTGAATCACCAAAAAATATTCCAGAGCACTATACTCCAGATACTAGGGCCAGTTTTTTGCTAATCCCAGCAGGATATGGAGACGTGGATCTATGGCTTTAAATTCTGGGCTGGTAAGCTCCTGCCAGCAAAATTCTTCTTCACATACAAGTCCAACATACAGAGAAAAACAAAAAAATACAAACCAAAAAGTAATGCTGCTAACCATATTTATTAGTTCAAAAATAAACTTACCATTATTTGCATATAAACTCACTACTATCTGTAATATGCAATGCAATTTGTCCTGCTACTAACAGATTAACTTTTTCATTCATTCATTTGTTACTTTTACTCTTCCAGGCCAAGCAGGCAATTCTCGAAATGGATGCCATACGTGAGTTGGTTCTTTTTCACTTTTGTTTTAAAAAAATAATAAAACCATCTTCAAAAGTTTGGCTTTAGCTGTCGGTTTTACTTGAGATGGAAGAAGGTCAGGCTTATGTTCCTTGAATTATGACCTTGCTGGAAAAGGCAAAATTGGATGCAGATCCTGTGGAGCTCTGTAGGCATTGGGCTGATTGGTCTGCAACCAACAAGCTGATGAGCAAGGAAGAAGCAAATAAGACCCACTGTAAACACTGGCCAATCTCTTTTGCTTACTCCATGCTGACTAAGTACGTGATCTTTCCTGTGTTGTAGTATAAACTTCTTCTGGCTAGTACGCACTGAAGGGCTAGCATTATGCAAACACACCTTGAAGAAGTACATAGCAATGCTATGACTTCTTCATGCTGGCAAACCTGCAACTGGAGGATAGTGACGCTTGTCTTCTTATGTCTGAAGAGTTTACCTCTGTGTGTCCCACAATCCAGCACAGGAAAGCACATGATGCTGCTGTCTGTGCTCAGAGCACAGCCCCATCTGCACAGTCTCTACTGTTGCATCTTCTCCTTTCTGCCTTCAGTAGTGCAAGATGCTTCAGCTCTTCATGACACCAATAATCCCTGGCAGTGTAGGAGAATGAGAACAGTAATCCTAGGATATAAATGCTGAGGAAGTCTTGGAGTATAGCAGGCTTGTTATTTATTTACATAGTTGTTGTAGAGTTTGTCAGGAAGGCTCTGACTGAGAAACTGGCAAACAAACATGATGGTGGTGAATAAATGTTTCTGGGTTAGCCATCTGGAGGCAGGCACAACTACATGGGCAAAGCATTTCTCTGGCTGGTGGGTTAACAGCTACCTTAGAGCAGCATATCTTGCTTGTGTTGCTCCAGGTTCTGATGAGGTGCCACTATATCAGTCATAAAGGGGTGATGGTACTCCTCTAAAGGGAGCCAAGGCATGTGAAATGCCATCCTTGTCACTCTCTTATTCTTTGTGCCTCTGCTTGTTCCCCAGATCACCCAGGCTTCCACTATAGCCCTGACGGAGAAATGAAATCATCATATCAGCCTAAGGAAGGCACTGCTCCTCACAGAGTGAGAAGGAAATCAGGTGAATAAACTCCTTTACCATCCAGATGACAAAAGGAAAACCACATAGGACTGTTTAGAGATGGGTGAGGCTGGGCACATGCAATTAGTTTTTAATCTGCACACTGTGCAGATTTAACATGGCACGGTATCTCTCAGATGTGGGTGAAGCATCTTATTAACTATTTGTTGTTTCTGTGATTTATGATTTTTATCCACTCTTTGCATTTAATGTAATGAAACTACATTTATAACAGTGGATGCACAAAGAACAGTTGGTACTTTCTAATGGATAAAAGAAAGCCAGTCACATTATTTAAATCTGACATTCCCCCCTCTCTGCAGTAACTTGTCTCAGAAGTGATTCCATCCTGATTATGATAGGCTGGTTATTTCAAAACACGATTGCTGTCTATACTTAGTGTAATGTCTGCCTTATGGATAATAAAGATTTGAGAAATAGTTATGCTGACTTTAGAGGGTGTTCTTCCTTCTAGGTTGAACATATATCCATAATTACTGTTAGTTTCCTCTCAAAGACACTACCAATGTCTTTGTGGTTGTGTGACTTCATATTGCAGTCACTGTGTTTGTCTCTTTGTCTCCTTAAAGACCTTTCCAATTTGGAGTGCGTAACACTGTGTATTAGGAATGACTTCAACAAGACCAGTGAGGGTATTGATGTAATGATTTAACATACAGCAGCATTTATGTCTGAAAAACAATCAAGGTCTAATTACATTTCAGGCATCTTCCTTTGTTTCTGAGGTGTATTATTGCATTGGTGCTGCTCTGCCTGTGAAAGGAATAATACAAAATACTGATCAAATGGCCTCCTATATGACGTTCAGCTACCTACACTTTTTAAGCCCTCTTAAGTTGTTGATACCTCATACATATTTTGAATAGAAAACCTCCAACAACTTAGTGTAACAACAGAGATGACCAAGTCTTTTGAAAGCAGGAATCTTAACATGGGATAAAAATTTATGTGTGCCTTGTTGTATGGAGAGCAGCTTCTATCGCATTGAGAAACATATGTGTTCTTTGGTAACAGCTGTAGGTTTGGCACTTCAAGAAATAGTTTGGGGTTTTTTGTGAGGAAATCGGGGGATAAAGAAATTAAATTCTGGCTTCATTGCATGGGCTTAGAAGCTTAAATTTTGATACATATGTTATAAAAAGTTGGCAGAGATGCCCCCAGCTTTCTTTGGAATGCTGGAGTGCTTAAACTTGTTTTTGTTGTTTTCAGAACCCTCATCTAGAGTCCATAAAGTTTTGAAGTCAAATGGTAAGCTACTTTGTGTACTGTTTATTGACCTAGTGCTTCTGTACTTTGTAGAACAAGGAAAGATGGATTCTTTTTTCTTATTACTGTCCCTAAATACATTAGGGGGGGAGGAGGAAGTTTAAAAGAAAACAAAATATCGGTGTTTAATGTCTGCTTTTCCAAACTTGGGGTTTGTGTAAACATCCTAGCAACTGAACACAGAGAGTCTTGGCCATCGTGAATGGTTGCTCATATCATAGCAGTGTTGCAAAGTTAGGCCCTCAAGTGGAACTCTGGTAAATCTCATGCTGTCTGTTTTTTCAGAGACCGTATAGTCTGTTTGTTCAGTTGCTGCTGCCTTTAACACCCTTTGGGAAATTTGTAATTGGGATATTAGTGTCGCATTAAAATGGGCAAAAACTGATAACGGTTTGATCATTTACTTATTTCTGTTTTCAGATATAAGTCCAGATATGCAGAAGGTAAGCCATTTCTTGTATTTCTTGTTTTAGCACATTCATTTGACTTGAAGCACAGTATTTACTGAAGAATCTGCATCTTCTTGGTTGTGTTGACTTTAAGAATGGAAACAAACCCATAAATGTTATTTAGCATCTCAAATAGGATTACTGGAATGAAAGCAATAGAAATACAGTTTACTATTTTGGGAATATTTAATAAAGAAAAAATTACTGATCCATATATTGTTGTGATTTATAATACAGTACAATCAATTACTAGGGCTATAGAATACTTAAAAATACCACTAGAATCAAGGAAGTGCTGTGTATAAAGATAGTGTTTATTCTTTGGAGCATATTATCTCTGCATTTATTAAATAAGACTGGAAATTTCAGCTCACTCTGAAATAAATATCATATATGTAAACCCTGACATATCACCAAACAAAGCAGATGCAGCTTAAGCAGATAGAAATGAGCATTTCTAATTTGTACATTTCCTGTAAGAATTTGTAATGATGTTACCAGTACAGTTGGAAAGTCTCATGTGGAATTTCGAGTCTTAGGGTTTTATTTAGAATGGAGTTTAAAGTGGGGGTGTGTGGAAGTTTTATAAACAGGGTACATTAGATATGACTTCACTGTCATGCCATAACACTGAAGGTCATGATTTGGGAGGTGGGGGAAGTGGGGATTTGCATATATTTTTTCAGTTCAAAATATTATATGGGAAAATACTTATTGTTGTACTTTATAAACAATACTTTATATATTGTTGCCTTTATAGATCTCATTTCAGTGCAGCTAACTCAATGTAGCTTAAACATTGCCTAGAAGTCTGATGTAAAACAGTGTCTTAGGAAAATATAGAATCTCTATAAACTTCTAATCAAAGTTTTGTGGTGGGTTTTTTTTAAGCGGATTGGTATTGAGGGAGCTCTATTATCTCAAGCCACCAAACCAGGATCAAGTGAAGCCCTGCTGAATTCTAGGAAAAAGGTTGCATTGGAATCCAGTGGGCTGGAGAGCCAATTGCAAGAGTCTATTGAACCAGCCTACAGCAGCGACCAGGATGAAAATCTTCAGACTTCTGCTATGGAACAGATTGATGCTGATGATGAAGAAGAGTCTGAACAGGTAGGAGAAAGAGGGGAAAAAATAAAATCATTTTTTCCTGGGGAGGATGGAAGAGAGATTAAAATTATCTGTAAAACAGCCATGAAGAAAGAATGCATTGCAAATATTTACAACTTTATCTTCTTAGATATATTTTAATTTAGACCTCGCACAATACTCTCTTGCATTTAACAGAGAAGATGTAAAAGTAGCCACTATACAGAGGGAGAAATTCCCACTGCTTGAACAAGATTTTACTTAGTCCTTTGCAGTCCTCAAACTTAGTTCTGACAAAAAGCTATTGTTTTTACCTGTTGCACGCAACTGGCTTGTCCTTGCTTCTTCAGCTGATGCCATGGAAGAAACCTTTTTAGGCCACATGCAAAGACAGTGCCTTCAGGTCTCCAAAGCAAGGACTTGAGTATTAAGATTCAGGCACTGCTGCAGGTGATGTGATGTTTCTTGATTTATGAGCTCCTGGCAGTAGCTAGGAATGTGTGAACTTAAATATGAAAAGTTTTGAGTAGAATTTCTGAAAATGAGAGTCTTTATCTGTTACTACTGCACAGAAGGTAGTGTTTCCCAGTCTGTATGATATTTCCACACGTATGTAGTACTTTTGAAAGACTAAAACCCCAGCTTTGAAATGGGCCTGTATTAAATTATCTAGATTTTCAGTTTATTTTGTTTAGTTGATACTGAGGTCATATCTTTGTGCAGTCCATTTATTTTTTCAATTATACTGAACCAATTATTGAAATTTTTTGAAGCTTACTGTGCATTTCCTCTTTGAAATTACATTATTTGCTTTATAAATATTTGACAAAATAGTATCTTGTATGAATGTAGTGCAGTGTCTTGTATTTCTCCTCTTGCTGATATAAGTAAGTACAAAAGAATAAGTAAGCCCAAAAGAATACCACCATAAAAGTGTATACTAGTAGCTTAGTGTTTAATACTAGATCTGGCAACAATACTTTCACAGATAGTCTAGGCTCTGAATCATTGCTGTGGCAGTGCTCTGATGACTCATGAGTTTATTAATCTTCCAGTATGGATCCCTGACCTGTTGTAGCTACTAATAATTCCTGTTATCAAGACTGTACAAAGAACTGTAGATTTTATTACCCCTCCCTTTCCTTTTTTCTTTAAAATCACAGGGAGTACAGCAAAACTCATTGCAGAAATCAAAAGGGGGAAGAAAAAGACTTAATAGCCAAGCTGCTGAAAATGTTGAAAAACGGAGAAGTCTTAATGTCAACAAGTGTGAAATGCAGGCATGTAATTATTATTTTTACTTCTATTTTGCTATGCATCATATATATGTCAAAGAAATCTGCTTTACCTAAGTATGTAATTTACAGTTTATGTCATGTATTAGTATTCATATCATTGAAATATTAATCTCTATGATGAAAGGCTGTTCTTTTTGGGGCTGGGAAAACAAGCAACTAACCAAACCAATCAGCATTAACTTAAGCCAAAAGGAATTATCTTTCCCTCTCTCTCCCAACCTCTGGCCAACAATCTCTGCAGCATCATGTTGGCATAAGCAAGCATGTGGCCTTGCTGTAAATTAGATCTGGATGAAAACTTACTCTGAAAAGAAAAAGGAAATTTTCAGTGGCATATGCTAAAGAGTACAAGATTTCTTTCTGCTAGGGTTATAGGCAAGGGGAAAGGGAGGAGAACAGAACTTTTGGCACAAGCCCAGAGTCAGATTAGCTTAATCCGACTGTGAAACTGCAGAGTTAGCATAAAAGGTTTAATCTAACCCCTGCCAAACAAATTTGCCTTTAATTACTCATGCATTAACATAAGCTACTGTACTTTGAATCTTACTTTGAAGTAAGATTTTATTAAATGCCAAGAGTGAACTCTGAGCCATGATAAGGATTAGAAGACAAAGTAGTCTGGCACTGCCACCTTTGCTCCCTGGCTCTCTATTGAGGAGTCTGCTTGCCCTGTCCATCTGCACATGATTCTATGCTGCAGGACCCACTATGATGGTTCTGTGAGTGGAGGGAATTGCTGTATTATTGCAGGGATATGCTAATGTTACCTGCAAATTTGAAATCTTCACAGAGCTCCAAGGACCCCTCAGATGAAGAGTCAACCCAGCTGAATACTGACCTTCCGTTTTCCTGCGCAGCTAGACAGCCACAGTCTCCTAGACAATTCAGCACAACCCAGAGCAATTCGCTAATCATGAATATCCTGGGAGGAAGTACCTCTGTCAGAAACATCTGGACGGACCATCAAATCAGGCAGGCATTGTTTCCCAGCCGGCGCCCACCTTATGACAACGAAGATGATGAAGACGATTATCAAATGTTTGTACCATCACTGTCTACGTCCAATGCAAGCTCAGCTGTCAGTGGAGAAAGGAGGGGTTCTTCTGGGCGTCCATGCAGCTGGCATTTGGGGGTAGTGCATCAAAACGAGACTTCCAGCCCCACTCGTCACAAAATTGTCAGACGGGCCAGTAGTGCTGGTGAAAGTAACATGTGTCCAGCCAGCACAAGGTGTAAAATAGTGGAGCGTGGTTCTCAAAGGGAAGTGAAGATAGCAGAAGTGAGCAGTAGGAATGCATATCCCGAATCTTCAGAGGAGTTGACTATCGATGATATTGAACATGTTTATGATAATATAAGCTATGAAGACTTAAAGCTGATGGGTCTGACAAGAAGGGAGGAGACACACCGTGGTCCCCAGAGATCTGCTAGAGACTCTCTCTATGAGGCTGAAAACAAAACCGGCTTAGATTCACCCTCCAAAAAGAGGACAGCAAATCAAAACAGGGCCTTTGTTTGTGTTAGTAGGGAGGAGATACTACTCAGTAAAGAAGCACCTACTTCAAGTTTAGATGAGCTCAGGATTGTTGAAGACAACATCTATGACACCATAGTGCTTCCAGAAACACCACTGTTGAATTTTAAATGTGACCCTTTGAAAACCTCTAAAAGGAGGAGTTTTTTGGAAAAAGACTTTGCATATTGTGACAATCTACAACATTTTGTTTCCGAAGAGAGTCTCCAGTTCAGTGAAGATGAAAGTCCTTACCATCGTGTTCCCATTGACAATGACTATTTGAGCTTAGTAGATAGCTCCTCCAACTCTGATTCTCTGTCCCATAAGTCTGCAGCAGATAAACTCTCAGAGGAAGTAGATGAGATTTGGAATGACCTGGAGAACTATATCAAGAAAAATGAGGAAAAGACAAGAGACCGTGTCCTTGCAGCCTTTCCTGTCTGTAAAGATGATATGCAGGAAAGGCTGCATGCTGGTAGTACACCTGAACTGAGTAAAGATGTAGAGTATTCTCTGTCTACTCTCTCTCTGCCAGAAACTCCTATTTTCCCTAAAACTGTGAAGCCCAGGGCTGCCACCATTAGTGAGGCGAATCTCAGGCTTGAAGACACTACACCATGCAAGAACTCTTTTATGAGTCTGAACAGATCTTCCTACTCCAGTGAGATGCCTCTTGTAGATGGTCCATATGAACCTGCCAACAATGTTCTGTCCAATGTGCGTGCAGAGAGTGTGGAAAATGACTTGGCTGTTGTGGATAAAACAAAGAACAGAGTTTTTATGATGGCAAGGCAATACAGTCAAAAAATTAAGAAGGCTAACCAGCTTTTGAAAGTTAAAAGTCCAGAGCAGGAACAGCCAGCTAGCAGACAACAGAAACTGAAACACAAAGATCTTGCTGCTATTCTGGAGGAGAAGAAACAAGGGGGTCCTGCTATTGGTATGTTAAAAACGTTTCTATACGGATACATTTCTTGAGTAACTTTCAGTGAACTTTGTGTTCTGAACTGGAAGATTATGAATTTTCCCCACCTTTTTCATTGAGTATCAGTATCATACTTTCTGTGTTACCACTGAGATGAGTTTTCTGGGACTGCTTTAACATGAATAGTCCCTTATATCTCATTTCTTGTCATTGCTTGATAACTGTGGGAAGAAATAGCAGGGTGGTGTCAGGAAAGAGCAATTAAACTGAGACTGGAAATAGAAATCATACTCAAAGCACTATTGGCCTCTTTACAGAAAAGCAGTTATTTCCTTTAATAGTGTGATCTTCAGAGTTTGACTAAATTGTTTATTTTCAAGTTGGTTCACCATCTAACAAGTCATGTACATTTGCTCAGATACCATCCACAATCACACCCATAAGCACAAGGAATGGGGTCAGATAAGAAAGAGATGGTGGTCTTGTTCTGTCAATGTGCAAAGTCATGGATATATGCAAGAGCTCTGGAACTGTTTTTGTCCATGGTCAATTGAAACAAATTGAAAACATGGAGCCAGCAGACTCCATGCACTAGAGTGTCATTCTTGCCTTCTTGTGATATTTATTAAAGTCTCTTAATATCTTATTTACCAGGCCATTTTTAGAATGTTATTTTCCATTTTAATATGAAACAAGCAGCATATTGTTGGAACTATGGGCTGCATTGTGTCCTGCGTGACTGCTCACCATAGCAAGATATTTTGTTTCTTTTTCTCAATACAGTGTACTGAAATGCAATGCAAAGGGTCTTTCAGCCTCCATTGTTTAATGTTACTTTGTTGACGCCAAATATATTTGCACAGCTTGAAAGATCTTCTCTTAACTGATACTAAGCATTTTGAGATTTTTAAATTTTCACATGATTAATTGGAATGCATTCCTTGTCTCTGCTAAGTTAATTCTCTCTCCTTTCTAGGTGCCAGAATAGCTGAATATTCCCAGCTTTATGACCAAATTATCTTTAGAGACAGTACTCCTAAGGTCCAAAAGGAAGCCTGGGTCACTCCTCAGGAGCCATCAGCTGGGAGGTTTTCCACACCCGTGGCCACATCACCTCCCCGTTCCCAGCCTGCCAGTGAATGCCCAAGAGCAGAAGATTGGCTTTTGCATTCTACATACAGTAATGGCGAGCTGGCCGACTTCTCTCCGTGCTCTGAATCCCAAAACCCAAAGTCCAAGAACTCATATACAGAAGCTGGTACAAAAAGTAATTCAAAGCAGTTGCTATCAGCTGGATCGGTGCCTTCCCTTCAGATTTCTAACCATTTACATGTCCCAGCGCAGAGGTGGAGTGCCATTATAAGCCAACCAAACAAAGAAAACTTACATCGAGATCACATCTATAATTCACTTGGGAGGAGAGTAAGCAATGTAAAACCACAGGCATACAGTAGGTCGCAGTCATCTTCCTCAATTGTGGTCAACAGGTCTGGAGAATCAATTGTATATACTAATGAAATTGACAAGAAAAAGCTCCATTTGAATAGGAACTTCCGATTCAACAATCATCAAAGTCCTGATATTGCTTCAGCATGTACAGGGCCGGAGATGAGAAAGCAGATCCCTGAAAACTGTTCAGATATAATTCTGCAGGATTCTCAAAAAGTCCTGAGAGTGAACAGGGCCTCCCCTCTGACAGCACAGATGGCCACTCAGAACTATTTTTCGAATTTCAAAGATTCTGAAGAAGGAGAAGGGGATGATGATGACTATGTTGAAATAAAGTCTGAAGATGAGGGATCTGACTTGGAGACTTCTCAGAACCAAACAAGGAAATCGAATCCTAAACTGCGTAATGCAGACGCTGTTCCTTCTGAAACGCTCTGTGGCAAAACTGTCTCCTGTACTCCTGCAAAGTCTGCCAGCAGCAAACAGGCACTTACCCCATATCTGACTGCATATAGTGATTCAGATAAACTGAATGACTACCTGTGGAGGGTACCATCTCCTAATCAGCAGAATATTGTACAGTCTTTAAGGGAAAAATTTCAGTGCCTCAGTTCAAGTAGCTTTGCCTGATGCTTTCAATAATTTCTAGCTATACTGCCTTATCATGACAGAGTATATACTAGGACAATCAGTACTGGCATCATGTATTTCCACAATATTACACAATCAGGCATTGTATCACAATAATATTGTAAATAGATGTGAAATGTATCTTTTTTAAAGTGGTTTAGAATCCTGAACATAAAAAAGGCCATACGTGCACTGTCCGGAGTCCCTCTCTGGAGCGCAGGTGGACTTCTCATCTCGTATTGGATCTTTGCATCTCTTCCCTTGTTAGGTGTCATGACCCCCCTCATTCTTACCATCGAACCAGGTCTGATACCATTTGCTTCTTAAAGCATTTTATCATGTGGAAACCTTAGTATTTGGACTTTCCAGTTGGCTTCCAGTGTTCTGCCTCCAGAATACCTGCGTGATTACTCTGCCTACATACAGGAGCATTTAGCTGAACAGCTGCTCCTGTGGCTGGGCAGATTTCTGAGGAGGTTCTGGTAGTTACACCAACAGACAACGTGCATAATTGCACATACTTTTTTGCACGTTACTTTTTATCAGACAGATTCCAAGGGTGTGGGACCAATGCATATGCTATATTACTTTACAACAAGCTTCTTACATTTTATACAAAATCTAGTCCTAGTGCTTGATAGCCTCTTCTACTTTCTGGAACTGCATAGTCAGCAGAAGACAGGCAGTGGTGGCTTTTTATGAAAACCTGTGGATGTGACATAGTCCTTGTCCGGGGAATTGTTCTGGCAATAGAAGGGGAGCTCCACTGCTTATGAAGAGGACTAGACCAGTTTTGGAAACTCCAGTGATGGTGGTGTAGAGCAGTTTTGGAACCTTCAGTGATGGTGGTGTTTGTGACACACAAGGAAAATTTGAGTATCATGTAGCTCAGCACCCAGCAGTTGAAAGCTGCTATGTGAGAGTTTGCAAAGTATCTGTGACCTGTTGGACCTTTGTTCAAGTCCCAGTGTCAGTGACCCTGTGAAAGAATGAGGCTTGACCAGGTACTTGGGTGAAATACTGATCATGGGGCAGGTTTGGCCCACAGTGGGGTTCAGTGACACTGGTGGTTGAGTGACAAGCAGCTGTCCCCAGGGCACACATCTCCTGTACTAGGAAATAACCCTTCCTGACAGAGAGAGGTAGAAGATGTATTTGCTAAATCAGCCAGGGCTAACTCTTATCCAATTTGTGTACAATAATAGTAGATTAAAAAATGAGAATACATTCCATTATTTTGCAAATAATGTATCGAATAAATGCTGCCATTTAGAGCAAAGACAGGCTTTCCGATATCATGCACACTTACTCCCCTTTGTCATCTTTGTTGCACAGCTTTGGATTCTGTTACTTGAAAACATTGTACTTAAAGGAGAGCCTAAATATGTCTACACTGATCATTTTGTGTGACTGTTCTGTTCTGGTGCTTAAATTCTTCACATTACATGGGGAAAGCCAGTACCGAGTTAAACATATCAATAAACAAAGGAGTTTCATAGAAATGTTATTTTTACTAATCACTTATCACTCCCCTAAGCTACAGAGCACTGTACTTCTGGAACAGCTGACTGTTTACTACATTGGTTACCATGAGGAAAACCTGAAGTTGTCAGTGTACAGCTAACTACTTGTTGACTAAGATTTGAGGACTTGAATTTATTAGAATGGATTAAATTATTTACCACACATATCTTGCATTGGCTAGAAATTGTTATTTTGAGGGCTGGTTGGTCATGGTACTTGCTAGCTCATACCACAGCGATACTTGTTACAGTCAGCACATCCACTGTGATAGGATCCGTATCTAGTAAAATCCGACTGAGAAATAATGTTGTACATATTTAAGACGCTGAGGTGTAGCAGAGCCCGTATTTATTTAATGTAGCTTGTAAACTATTGTAAATATGGATAGAAGGTAAATCTGTGCGCGCACGTGTCTGTGCGCGCACGTATCGATTTGTTTAAACGGCTTAGGGGAATGTTTAACTCGCGTCTTACGCAATCAGTGGAGTTGGGAGGGAGGGGTAAAAAAAAAAAGCAAACAACAAACAAACAGAAAAAGGGACTTCTACTAGCATTGTAACTTCTCCCAGGGGCCATTTCATACTATTTTTAATAAACGTTGAGTATGCAAAAGCTTTGGGTGCTGTTCCTTGGGGGAGGGACGTGATGGGTTCTCCCTGTCGGAGCTGATGTTTGGAGGTGACTTGGATGGTGATTTTTTGTTGCAAAAAAGCGGAAGCGCAAGCGGCCGAGCGCCGGGGCGGGGAGCGGGGCGAGAGGGCAGGCGGTGCTCCAGCTCCGCCCGCCCCCTCGCCCTACTCCGTCCCGGCGCCGCTGCTGCAGCGGCCACTGTCGCCGCCGCAGCGCTCCGGAGGGATGATGAGCGCGGTGCTGCGGCGCTGCCTGGCCTCGGCGCTCCCCGCCGCGCTGCTGCCGAGCCGCGGGCTGTGCGGGTGGCACCCCCAAGGCGGCGGTGCGGCCGCGGCCGCCCGGTAAGAGGCGCACGTGGGGAGGCAGCGCCGGCTGATGCAACCGGGGGGGAGGGTGGTGTGATGGTGTGGGCATGGAGGGAGGAGTGGTAAAGGGGATCTTGGGGATGCTTCCTGACTGGGTGCGTCGGGTCGGGTTTTGAGCTAGGTTTTGGGGGACCGTCGTAGCGAAATGTCCCCCTTCCCGCAGAACCACTCGGTTGGGTTGTTTTTTGCTGTGGCTTTTGGTTTTGTGGCATTTTGAGAGCGACCAGAGCAGCCGTCATGTAGTGGTGGTTCAGGTGAGGCTGTGCGCAGGTGAGTTCCTGGAAAAACGTGTCCCTCGTCGCCCCCGCCTCACCGATTCAACCTTGGCCGGGATAGTTTGCCACGGCGTGAATTGATCATTGGCTTTTGCAAGGGGCACGGTGCGAGGTATCAAAAATCCACTCTAGGCTGTGTTTTCCTCCGTTTATCTTGCTTGCTGTGGGGAACAAACACACAGACGTGTTTCAGGGGGTCTCCTCCTTCCTCTGCTGGTTAAGTGTCATCTGTATGTGCAAAAGGTAACAGGAGAGCTGACAGCCACTTACCCAGAAATTTTTTCCAGAAAGCACTCCCAGTGCCTGGCTGTCACCAGTTGTGGAGGTCGGCGTTTGAATAAAGACCTCCACAACTTATCTGGGTGCAGCTGGTAAGGCGATTTTATTATAAAAGTAGCAGGGCAACTGAACAGCTTAAAGGGACGAACAGAAGGGCACAAAAGAGCACGAGACCAAATGGTTCCAGCCTTAAAATAATGTGGGTAAGGAAGGCACTAGAACAGAAGGTGGAGTTTAGGCGGAGCATGCAAATTACAACCAATCATAGGAAACTGGGGCTGAATATAACCATATATGGTACTGCGTCAAATATCAACCAATGAAGGAACAGAACATACATACATTATATGTAGAATACAATACAATACAACAACTTATATGCAAAATCTATGATTTCCTTATTAATTACACATTTTTAGACCACCACAACCAGTTTTTCCAAGAAGCAGTGTGGCAAACAGAGCTCCTCTGTCTCCCTCCTGCCAGTGGTTTTGAATGGCATTCATGAAAGTGAATGGTCTGCTGCTCTTGGGGCTGGTGTTAAGCTGTGCTAGCCCCAGGTGTAAAGGCTTCTGCATCTGGCCGAGGGTATGGAAACAAAAGTCCCACCTGAACCAAAAGTGCAAGGTCGTGGTTCCCTGGTGCACTTCCTCTGGTGGGGCTGGACGAGCCTTCTCATGAATTAACAGTCTAGCTATAATGTTTTGGGCATGTCGGAGCAATGACGCAAATAGCTGTAAAAAAAAATAAAAAAATTCTGTGTACCTGTGTGCTGAACACTAGCCCTCAGAGTTTACATCCAACCATAATTTTGGTGATTAAAAGCATATGTGCCTAAGCATTTATGTTATATTGCTGACTAACATAAGTTTCTGCTGACTAATGTTAAGAAGGTTTATTTTGTTAAAGATTTGCTTGTTATTGTGTTGCAGCAAAATCACCGAGAATGCAAAGAAATCCTTGGCCTCTCTCAAGAGACAAAACCCTCAGCTTGAGCCAACACTTGCCATTATTCAGGTAAAGTACCTCCGTGTGCTCACTGAATCTCCTTTGCTACCACTCATTGTGTGAGACTTCAGAAGCGCATGATGCAGAAAGTAACTTTTAGTCTTTTTTTATAAAAAATATTATCTGCTTTATTATAAAGCAAAGCGATTGGAGGAGGTAATTCCACCAGACTGTAGATTGCCTTTTTCGTCAGTTCTGAAACAGCCACAGCAAACTTCAGACTGTGGGAAAGCTTTGCAAAAGAAAGGGATGATTTTATCCCTTCCTCCTTTTGCTAATGTAGTCTTCTCCACTGTGAGTATGGATAATTTTTTCTCACAGCTTGTCTAAATTGATTGGCATAGTTGTGTTAAAGCGGTTGTCCTCAACCTTTATTTAGCTGGAAGCTTTTTTTTGCAATCCTGAACAAAGCGTTTATGTGCCTGAAAACAGTGGGCATCCCTTCACCTCCCACTTCTGAAATAACATTGCCGGGGTTAATGAAAGACCCTGTTGCTTCCTGTCAAGCTTGTTACCTTTGGGCAGCTGCAGCTTATCACTGTGTTACTGCTGTTCTAAGGAGAGGAAAACCATACTGAAAAGTTCTGGTCAGCTCAGAAGGGTCTGAGTGAAGTAAGTGTCTTGTGTAAAGTGTCAACATCCTGTAGAAGCAGCAGCACTTTGTGATGTGAAGAAATCTTGCAATAATTGAAAGTTGTTGTTTTACTAATGCTGTGAAGAGCTTTCCTTTCCATCTCACTCATGCAGCCATCTTTCAGACAGGCAATCAGAGATGAGGATTGCTGTCCCTGCAAAGCTGAAAGATGTTCCTCTTTAGATTTCTTAAGGTTTCAAAGCCAAGAAACTAGGGATGTTTGTCATTCAGAGCGGGACCCAGAACCATGCAGGCAAAATGTCTTTGTACTGTTTCCTAGGATAGTGGCATTGGTTTTGAGCGGGCACACACTGAAACTCTGATCCAGTAGGTTTCAATTTTAAAACCCAACTGTGTTTTCCAAGTACTCATAGTGAATCTAAGTAATGCAACAACAGCTTTATTTCAGTAGATCTTCTAGTGAGGCTGTCTGAGCAGGCTCTCCCATCTCTTACCCTCCCTGGTAATTGCATTTAATGTTTTCACAGAGCCTTCCAAGGCTATAAGCTTAAGGACTGCTAGAAAAGTGGTGACCCATCTTCTCAGTGACCTGTTTTTTCTCACTCCTGTTTTGTCTTTATTCAGTTGTACCATGAGCTGGACTGGGTCTGTGATCCAGCCTGAGATCACAGCCTGATCCAGCTGTGACCCCAGCCTGAGAACTCTAAAGAGGCTTCCTTTCAACCATGTTCGTCCCCCAAGTCTGTTTTTCTGCATGGCCACATGTGTGTTTTATGCTGACACAAGGGAAGGGATGTCCCTCTTGTCCCTGTATATCCTACTTGGTTTGCATCATGAGGTGGCTGTAGGAACATGTGGCCAGATCCTTCTGGGTGAAATTCAACCAAGCTATGTTCTCCAGCTGTCAATCACCCTAGCTCTAGTCTGGTTGTAAGGACTGAAGCAGAGCTCATTTTAAATATGTATTTGGTGGTACAAAGAAGACTTGCTTTAGTCTACAAATGCTCTTGTGTGCACTGCTCTACCAGGTAATGTGGGCAGAGCCTTAGGATTCATGCTGCTCCCCATATGCCTCATTGCACCTAGAGGAGCAGAGGGAGGGCAGCGAAATTATCTCCTTTGCCAATCACTCCTGGGTAGCAGCAATTGGCATCACATGGCACCACCTCTTCAGAAGTACTGGGAATGAGGATTTGTAGACTGACCCTGCTGTGGAATGGTTTTAGGACTGTTCTTTTCCTCTTGAGTCAACTGAACCTGAATTGATACTGAGATTGATACCTGCATTGCTTATTATTCATGTTGAACCTGTGTTGGATCTTTGCAACAGATTGTTGGGTGCTGCTTAATTTTGTTGAAGCTGAAAACTAAAATGTAGCATCAGGATCCTGTTTAGCAGTGGAGCTGTTGCTCTGCAAAGCTCAGTGATCCCCTGCATTCCCCTGTCCTGCTCTTATGCTATGCCAGCCCATGTCCTGAGCTCTGGCCTCATCTGTGCTGCTCCATGGGTTTGATAGGAGCCTGTTCAGGGCAGGTTTCTGCATGCACACAAGATAACTGTTCACCTGCCAGTACTGCAGCATTAGGGACATTAGAGGCGATAATGTGATATCACCAGTTGCTCCATCCCAGTTAAATCTCTCAAGCAGTTCCACGTTTACTGGCATAGGGGAGCAGCTGCTGAGCTGTCCTTTGACCTGACTCTTTTTCCCAGTGTGAGCTCTGCACAGTGTTCCCACTGCAGCAGCCTCTGTGCTGCCACTGACCTCCAGCTGCCAGATTTGGGGAGTGGGATGCTGGTAGTGCAGTACCAGGAATGCTGGCGGTTCAGGGAGGGAGCCAGGGGATGGAGGGCAAGCCCTCCTTCCCACGCAGGAACTACCCCTTACGTGAAGCCTGTCCTTTTAAATGCTCTTTTGTTCACTGTCATCAGTCTTGAACAATTTGGGAATAATAGGGATGACCTTCTGCTTCTTTCTTAGAATTACTAGGCTTTTTATTTGTTCCAATACCAGTAGACACAAATGTCATCACTATGTTTTTTGCATAGACATGTGCATTAGTGTTTTTCATTCATTCATGGCTAGGCTTCGTGAACAAAGATTTGGGAAGGGCTCTACCCACATTTGCTACAAGCGTGCTGGTGGCTGAAAAGGCCAGTATAAGATAGACAAGTCTGGTTGCAAAAGGCACAGCAGAAGGACTCCTTAGGTGGTATATTCGGCAAGACACAATTCTTTCTGCGTTGTCTTTTCTCCTCGAGAGTGATCCTGCGTGTGTTCTCAAAGGAAGCAGCAGTGTTATAGATGGTGTGTCTCCAGACCTCCCGATTGGAGGCCAGAGTAGACCAGTTATGTTGATCAATATGGCCAAGGCTGAGATGATGTTTCAGGGAGTCCATGTATCTTCTTTTCGGGGCTCCTCTCTTGCGGCAGCCGGTGGCAAGTTTACCATAAAGCAGGATCTTAAGGGAGGCGGTGGTCCTTCATCCTTGAGACGTGCCCTGCCCATTGCAGCTGTGTTCTCAGCAACATGGCCTCAATAATTGTGAGTGCTGCTTGTTCTAGAACAGATGTATTAGTCACATAATCTGACCAGTGGATGTTTAGGATTGTACGGAGACAGCATTGATGGAAGCGTTCTAAGAGTCGTAGATGGTGGTGGTAGATGACCCATGAGCATTAGTGTACTCACATTTTTAAATGTATTATTTTAAAACTTGGTTTCTGTTTTGTTCCCAAAGGCACATAATGATCATTTGATTCAAGAAGCAAACAAGAACTTTGCCAAAGAGGTAAGTTTTAGCTGATACATGTGTTATTAATCATGAGCTACTTGCCTTTGGTAATTTTAAGTATTTTCTTTCGACAGGTTGGTCTACGCATTATTCACATCTGTCTCCCTGAAGGCAGCAGCAAGGATGAGGTAATTGAAATACCTGAAGGACTCTTCTTTTTTTGCTTTTGTCATAAACTTATATTTATTGTTGACACTAATTATTACTTTGACTGACCTCTGTTAACTCAAATTAGGTTTGAGATTGCCTTAGTTCAAATAACAAGTATTATCTCCCTTACTGGCAAGAGTGGGGGAAAAAAATTAATGGGTTTGTCTGCTGTCCCCTGGCAAGTTGGGGCAGAATCAATAGAGTAACATTTTGGTTTTGTGTCTGGTGTTTAACTGCAGCATCCCCTCATACCAGCACAAGTATCCTGTCTCCTACAGTTGCTCTTGTGACTGTACCTAGTTCTTGCCCAAGTTATTCAGGGAAATTAAAGATTAATCGACTTTTTTATTATTTTGGGGGGGGGCAGGGAGGGGAAGGAGCTAAATTTGTCTGTTTATTGGTCTTTTAATATTTAAAGTATGTGTTAAAAAACAAACATCTACCCCAAATCACTAGAGGGCTGAATTCTTTACCTTGTTGAAGGCACAGCACTTAATATCATATGTTTTAAATATAGCAAACCATCTGAAAGTAAAACCAGTGAAGGAATGTATAGTAAAAGATACCACTGTTTCCACCTGGCCTCCTTGTACTTCTCAAGTTTGATAATCCTGCAGCTTGGGAGTTTTGTGTATTGTTTTTAAAATGTTACAGGCTTGCAGTGTAATCTCAAGAACTGCTTCCAGGTACATTGTGAGTAATTTACTGTGAACTCTTGTAGATTATGGATAGTGAGATATCCATTTAAAAAGAGTGGGCTTTTGAAATGAAGAACATACACTTTGTTTTTGGTAAATGTGTTTTATCTGCTGAATAACGCAGTAGGAAATAGGTAAAATATAGTGATTATGCAGCAGTAGTTGCTGTTACTTTGAAGTAATATCTTAAAAAGTGGTTGAGCTGTGTATTTAAAGAGAAAATTGAGGTCTTTTTGTTATTTGAAGTAAGTTACTTTCAATAAAATTTGTAATGGTTTGCTTACTCTCTTGCTTACTATGACAAAGTTTTTTTCATGTTAAAATCCACACTTATTTGTGTTCCCTGGTGTGGGAAGGTGGGTGGGAAGGAGGTACTGCCTGTGTAAAGGTAAGTTAATGTAAAATTGCTTTATCCTGCATGAGTTATAAGTAATTTAAATGCTGTGATGATAGAAAGCTGAATTGAAGTAAGATGCAATTAAAATGGAAAACTGAATTATTTTCCCAGGAAGTGGCAATATAATTTCAAGTTTTAGTTGCTACATTTTGTAGGATATGGGGATTTTTTTAAGCAAAACGTGCATGTTTTCACATTCATGTTCCAGTATATACACTCATCCTTTCCATTGCAATGTATACCAGCCCTGTTGCTGTCAAATGGCACAGGGCCTTAATACGTACACCTCTCTTTGCCTCAGGAGTCAGCAAACTAAAGAGGTTTTTCTATACTAGTGACATGCTTGTATAATCTTTGTTTAGCATGGGAATAACACATTCACTTGGTTCAGAGTTGCAGATCTAACTCCCACCAAATTCCCCTGGCTTAATGTTGACTGCACGTTGATAGATGGGTAATAGAGTCCACAATTATATTGAATGGTTTACAAGAAAAGCGTTTTAAGAAGGCTTGGTATTAGTTAAGGAAAAAAACCAGTTATTTTCTATTGGATATTAATCCAATTCAATTATAAAGTTTTGTGATGATTGCACACTGATTTTATATATATATATGATGGGAAGACATGTTTGCATGAAATTTCTCACCTGTGAACTTTGGCATGTTTTATTCCATTGTATTCTTCCTGGTCACAGCAGAGTAGCGTGTATCACTATGGACCACGTTACAGTTTAGAGAGTAAGTATTCAAGGAAAACTAGTACAGTCTAAGATGTCAAATGTGACCAATTATAAACCACTTGAACTTGCATCTGGTTCAGTATTTGAAATTCTTAAACTTCTGTGCAGTACCTTTTCAACATAACAATACTTCACCAGACAATTGTCAGCTCTTAGGATAACAGTGTTTTGAGAAGGAAAATTGGTAATGATATATGCTGGTTTAATAAAATTAATTTTCTCTTGTAGAATTGTTTTTTCTAGTGTTACAACTTTTTGTCCATGTTCTGTGTTGGGACATGATCTCGTCCAATTTTGAACTACATTTTAACAAAGGTCTCTTGTTTCTAAAACATCTGCTGAAGCCGTTACAGTGATCAGTTTTTGCTGAGATTTGGAATGGTGAAAGAGCAAATGCTTTTGGCAGCATAATGTCAGATAATTTGTGTTTATTCTGCAAGATGTTTAGAATAGAGTCAGGTAATTTGGTAAACCATGGAAATATAAACCAAGGAAAGCAGGTTTTTGCCTTTTTCATTTAGAAGTTGCAGTAATATGCAAGGGAAGCAAAGGTGGCTGTGAAGTAATTTTTAAAAAAATACAGGTTTTATCCCCTTCTAACTAGATTCTCATTTTAACTGTTGTTCTGATTTTTAATGCTTTTTATTAACTTCCTAGATTGTCAGTGAAATCTTCAGACTTAATGAGGATCCTAACGTGCAGGGCCTTGCCCTTGACCTCCCAGAAAGCTTATATAGCAGTAAGGTATTAAATGCTGTGAAACCAGAGAAGGATGTGGATGGGTAAGTGAAGCACAGATAAATAATATTAGCAGACACAAGGCTGATGGCTCTGTAAAATCAATTTTCCCCTGTGCTTATCATTAATGGATTCCTCAGTTAATGTGTCTAGCAGTGCTATTGAGCAGTGATAAAAGATGCCTCTGAATCAATGAGAAGTCTTCTGCTGAAGTAATTTTGATCATTATCTTTCTAATCTTTACATAATGTATATTCAGGACATGGTCTTTTCAAAAAAATAAAAACTGAAGGGTTGATTTACTGATGATACTTAAGGTGTTTCAGTACTTCAGTAATGAAAATGGTAGTCACAAAGTGCTGAATTTTCACAAGAAGGATTGATGGAAAAATTGCAGAGAAGGTTTTTACTTCCTTACAGCACTCTCATGGTGAGGGAGTAGGCTATATAGTTTGGATCCATTAACACAACTTTCTAATCAGTGTCTCTCTCTGAAGAGACCACTAGTGTAATTTAGGTGTCTGAGTTGCCATCTTGCTGCTCTTGCAGCCTTCCTGCTCTCAACTGCAGACTATTACTGGATTTTTTATCCCTTTCACTTTTTTTTTAATGACAGGAAAAAGATCTGAAAATCTTGCAAATTAGTTAGCTTTCCATTATCTGGAGTACTGGAGATGCAGAAAATGGAAAATTTGGAGCATCCTTGTGTATGAGAGAGAATGCAGTGCAGTGTGGAAACACTCGAGTTGCCCCCATTGAGCCAGCCTGAGCCCAGAAGGATGTGCTGCCTCTGGCTTGGCTTGACTTTGGCAGCACTGGTCTGGTCTCACTGCAGCCACTGAGGTGTTTTGGCCCAATGTGCCATGGGTAGCCCATCATGACAAGTAAAGAACTGCCTGTATATCGTGGGATCGTGTTACTTATTCAGAGATCCCTTTCCTGGCCTCTCTTGAGGCTCAGTGAGTATCTAACTGGGATGTGGGATGATACAAATTAGCCGCAGTACATGACTATCAAAGGATTTGCTTTTATGAGATGTGTTTGCTCATGGGATTAGCTGTTAGCCGTGTTACAAACATTACTGAGGATTTATGTTACACAAACTTCTTTTTTGTTAAATTGCCATGTTTTTCCACTGCAGATTATCCAGTGTAAACCTAGGACACTTAGTACGTGGTGATGTCTATGATTGTCTAGTTCCTCCTACAGTGTGTGCTGTGATGGAGCTTCTTGAAAATCTAGGTGAGTACTTCTATCATAAGCATGAATTAATTTTAGCATAATTATTTTTCTCAGTTTTGATCCTGACCGGGAGTCACATATAATCTGACTTGTGTTTTCTAGTTTGTGTTGGATTCCCATCTGATGTATATTTGTCTCCTGCTAGTGAGGAGCCTCAGTGAGATCTGAATGTAGCATTTGCAGAAATGGGTCTCAGTCCTACAGATTTTAGATATTAGGTTGGAATTAGCTGCCATTAGCAGATTTAATCTCACTAAAGCTGCAAAAGACAACTGAGTCTTCCAAATGAAAAATATAAACCTTACTTGGGGATTTCACTTGACAGTTTTAATTAGTGTGAACAGTTGGGGAAACTCAGGTCTGCCTGTAAATTGCTGCTGAGCAAATCTTTTGGTTTGGGTTTTGTTGTGTGAATGCTGACACTGAAATGGCAGATTTAAACAAGCAGGTTTACAATGTGTGAAGACGCTGTTAGTTTAAGGCACTGTTTCAGAAATTATCTCTCTCTCAAAAATTCGTAAGTGTTGAAATGAGGATTTCAGTAACAGAACTGTAAATACTATGTCAAATGTACTTAATAACAACTGAGAATGAAAGGATTTGTGCAAAATACCAGAGAGCCAGAAGAGCAGTATTTGCTTACTAGAATTTGGGAAGTTACCAGGAAACAACTTAAAACCTGTGGTTTGTGTCACTGCATGGGCTCTGAAAGACTTGCCTATGCTGACGCAGCTGCTGTGGTTGTGCAGGCACACAGCGCTGTCCTGTCGTGAGCCGCTTTGCTGGCACTTCTGAAGGGCTTCGGCAGCGAGTGGCCTGGTCAGAGCAGAGGTCCATGTAGCTGCTCCAGCTCTGTGCCCAGTGGAGCCTGGTGCTTGTGCCTTTGCAGTTGAGGGCGGCTGAACAACTTGCCTTGTGTCATGCAGGTGGAAAGACGGTGCTGCTGGTGGGAGTCAGTGGGGCAGTGGGTGCTGCCCTGCAGAGCATGCTGCAGAGGGAGGGAGCAGCGATCATCAGCTGCCCATGGAAAGCCCCACAGCTGCAGAATGAGGTGAGCGTTCTTCTGTCTGCCCAGGGTCATCCTGCATCCCCGCTATCCGGGCATCACTGTCAGCTGCTCCCCTGGCACTGCTCCCCTTCGCTGCTGTTGCCAAAAGGGAGACTCGTTGTTGCAGTCACAGGTGGCACTGGGTCTTGCTGGTAGCCAGTGCGGGTTAGGATCTTTTCTCCTTCCTGCTTGCTCAGAAATGGTGCAAACACTGGCCTCTACCCTCTACCAGAGTTCAGAGAAGGGCAATGAAGCTGGTGAAGGATCTGGAGCACAAGTCTTATGAGGAATGGCTGAGGTAGCTGGGAGTGTTTAGTCTGGAGAAGAGAGGGCTCAGAGGTGACCTTAACAGTCTCTGTAACTACCTGAAAGGAGGTTGTGGCCGGGTGGGGAATCATCCTCTTCTCCCAGGCAACTAGTGAGAGGACAAGAGGACACAGTCTTAAGCTGCACTGGGAAACATTTAGGTTGGACATTAGGAAGAAGTTCTTCACAGAAAGGATGATTAGACATTGAAATTAGACTGTCCAGGGAGGTGTTTAAAGAAAGACTAGATGTGGTACTTAGTGCCGTGGTCTAGTTGAAATGGTGGTGTTCAGTCGTAGCTTGGGCTCAGTCATCTCAGATGTTTTCCAACCTAATTGATTCTTTGATTCTGTGAATATTACATGTAATAGCAGCTGCTGTGATTTCATTATTTTACACAAGGAGCTGTTAGAGAAAGAATTTAAAAACAAATGTGTTAGCTCTCCCTTTTACTTTCTCCAAGAGAAATGCCCTCTTTCTTCTTGTCCTGTGATATTGTCATCTGTGTGAAATTACTGTCATTGAATTTGTGTCTTAAAAGTTTGCAAATACTGCATCTTTTGGGACAAGGAAGATCCCGGTCTTTATCTTTAAAGAGAACTGTAAAAGGATTCAAAGAAATTCAGGAGCCTTATCCCAAAGGATTTAGTTTACATGCTCTCCCTGGTTGCTTTTTGCAGAGCTTTTAGCTGCAACTTAGAAGTTGGTATGACTTCCTGTCAAACTTCTCTGTTTGTTCCTTAGTCCCAAATGCGTTGTCCTTGGGGCATGTGCAGCAGGGTTCAGATATTGGCTGTGGGAGTGCACATTACTCCAGGGCCTGGTTTGCCAGTGGCTGTAGGGGTGAGGTGCCCAAGACAGCTTTAGTATTTGACAGCTTGTACCACAGGGTGGCAGCCAAGGCAAAATGATTGTGTCACACCTCCGGGCTTTGGAGGCAAGGACAGGAGGAGGAAATAAATTTGAGCAGCTGTGATAGAAAGTTCTCTGGCAAACTCATGTTTTCACAGCTGCAGATGTTTTTGTCAGGCTTGTCTCAGCTCTGGGCTTTAAGTGACTGACAGCACTTAGGAAACATATGCCTCTGTTGGAGACAGAGTGCTGTGAACTTGATCCTTGCCATGTCTCATTCTTCAGTTATTTCTTGTTGCTTGGGGTTGTGTTAGAGGACTGCTTTGGGCTGGATGGTGTGGGTGACAGGGTGGCCAGAGGTGTTTCCACTGGTTCACAGCAAAAAATCTGGATTGAGCCCATAGCTGCTTGTGCAGTGCTGTCTATAGCTGAAGAGAAATCTGTTTCCTTCCATCCACATGCTTTCCCATAATCATGCTTTGCTTTTTGGCATTCCCCATAGCTTACCTTTTGCAGCAGGTCACTGATGGAAAACAGAACGAGAGGCCTAAGTTTGAGGCTTTGCACATCAGTCTTCCCAGGTTCATTTTAACTGTTGGCAGTAAAGGAGTTTGTGCTTTACCTGTGGGACTAATCAGCAGAGGTCAGGGGAAACCTACCTTCCTCTGCCTTGCCTGTAAGCCTGGAGCAACATGTCATCAGTAATCCCCAGAGCACTGCTGAACCTGTCTGGATATACTCCGATGGTTAACTTTAGCTCCTTGATAAAATCTAGTGTGTTCAGGGAAAACTTTCATATTCCCAGAAGCTGCAGAGTCAGAAACTGAGCACAGGTTTCCTACTGAACAAGATACTGCTGTCTCGTGGCAACCTGTATTTGAAGTACAATGTTTTTAGATAACATGATTATAGCTGGTGATATGAATTTATATTCTTCTGCTTGTTTAAAATGCCAGTTAAGTAAAAACAGTTTAAAAGGTTCACAAGATTTCTTCTCATGAGGTTTTTTTTTAATTTGAATTTCAAATAAGAAAATATGTTAGTCAATGTTGAGGCTTTTCCAAGATTTGGAAGAATTAATTCATGTTTTGTTTTTCCTGTACAATACACCAACTTCTCCTTTCTCTGAATATGATGCCTCTACAGTAGCAGTCTGTGTGCTGTTGTTTGGAAGTATTACCTGTGGTAGCATAATAACTTCACTTATGAAGTGAGAGATGAACATACAAAGAGTATAAACTTTTCACTGGTATACATTTGTTTCACCATGTATAATAGGAAAGGAAAATTTTATCTGAAGGGTAGATGTATATTATTTGTATTAATCCATTGGCCAGGCCAGTTTGCACTGAAGCAGTAACCCTGACCTTAATGATGTAATGCATTTCTTAAGTGGTTACTAAATTACCTTAGACTAGTTCTGCTGATTTGTTCTTCATTTTAAAAAAGGACAGCATAACAACAAGTGTTTTCTTTAGAAATTCTTTCAATTTAAATGAGTCACAGAACACTAAGTTTGTTGGGTTTTTTGGGTAAGGTTTTGTATTGCTATGGACTTGTTATTACTTCTGTTACTCATGCACTTTTGCAAAAATATTTTGACTGATCAAGAGAAGGTATGTTTTAGTCTACCTTAGGAAAAGTCTAACAATGTAGGGATAGCTCTCCTGGCAAACAGCATAATGCCGTCTACCATCTGACTTAGTGTGCTCCTTTAAGGCAAGTCTTTTCTGTCCTATGGCAGGAAAAGGGAATGAAATAAATAACAGTACTTCTCATTTCCTTGCTTTGAGATGAATGAATAGTGGACCCACTTTCAATGTTCTTTTCCCTCTTCACTTCACGTTTTGTTAAGGTGAACAGGTTAATATCTCCCTCTGTTCCATTTCAGGTTTGCTTTACTTCATTTCTTAAAAATAATCATCACAGCACAGCTGAACCACGTCCTTCAGCGCTCTTGAGCTTCCTGGGTTTTCAAATAAAATTACAAAGGAAAGAAAACATTGCAGAAGGTTCTGGCACATTTGTGCATTAGTTGCCATGAGGAAACGGTGTTCTTTTACCATTGATATGTTCAGTGTAAAAAAAATTATGAAGTAAGAGATAGACATAAGTATTTCGGTGGAAATTGTTAAGATGTTATTGCTCTGTTAAGCTTTGTGTAGCTAACTCTTGAAAGCACATTCACTGCATTGTGCCTGAAGAATGACCTAGTGACATACTTTCAGGAACATCTCCTTTGTAATGTTAAAATGGGACTACCTAAAAGTTGATTCAGTGTTACAGATGAAGAATGGGAACAGATGTGGTTAATCCTTTATCACGGTAGAATTATGCTTTCTAGTTTGAAAGGAGGTTATCAAGTAGATTCATATTGAAAAATACAGATTATTTCCTTGCCAAAACATGGGTAATACTTGGTACTTGTAAGAAAACAGAATTTTGTTTCAGTCATCTAAATTCAGTCAGTCATTATTTCAGCATGTCATCTTTAACATAGCCCGTATGTGAACCACATCGTGCCTGTTTTGAGAGAGCTGCTATCCTACAATTTTATTGTAAAAGAACTGAAAATTGGTCTATCTAGGTATAATTAGGAATAGAAAAGTTGTTTGCAAAAGCCTGGTTGAGGACTATAAGAGTGGTTCAGCTGGAGTGCTAAATGGGAAGTTCCTTTCCAACTTGAAAAAGAACTTCTTTTGGCCACAGTCTGCTTTTCCTTAGAGCCAATGCTTAAGCTTCAAACTTTTAGACATCTCTTAGCCATTTACTATCCCACTTTTGCTGTCTTGATAAGAGTAAGAGTCTTGGTACAAGCAGAAAAATGCACTTCATATTGTAAGCATGAAAGAACATGAGACGAGGTATATGGATCCCATAAGAGGAGACGAGAGGGAAGCTGCATGAGAGTTTCTAGTGATGATGATGTAGATAAAGTATTTCTACTTCAACATTTTATGCACATCACCTCTCTTCCTTGTAATTTTGAAATTTATCCCCCTGTCTGTAAGCTAGAGGAACAGTTGCTAAAGCAGTAGGCTTGAGCCCACAGTAGAGATGTGGACTTGATTTTCACGTGCACTATGTAGAGCAAGTGCATTCAGGCCGATATGGTAGGGAAGGGGTGGTCAGTGTCTGGGCAAGAAGATGGTAGCAGGGAGCTATTGGCCGCTTGCTCTGGTTCATCCCTGAGGAGTCTGGCTGGGTGGGAAGGGATCATGCATAGTTGTTCTGCTGGGTTGCTAATGATTTGCAAACCCTGACCTTCCTGAGGTAGAGATAGAGCTGGAAGAAACCACGTAAGGAGAACATACCTTAGTGGAAAAAGTACCTGAAACTAGTCACTGACTTATAAAATTTTCAAGATTTCAGGAAGTAATTAGAGTTGCTGTGATTGAAGTGGAACCTGATATGTAAACTGATATGAATAAAGATTTTTTTGCTAAAGAGAGTTGTGAAAAGGCTTTTAATCAGGTTCCTATTCCTCATCCCATCTCTTAAATTTTATATGGCCTAGCTTCACACCCAGGAAATGAGGGCTTTTACATTTCAAATATTAATTTTAATTTTTATTTTGTTTGATCATGTATTTAAAAATGGCTTTTTTAAACTATGGGAAAATGAAATTTTTATGTGGACTTCACAGCAAAATGGAGTTTCAGTTATCTGTAATAGACAGCTACTTTGTGCCATTATCATTAAATACTTGGCTGGAAAATCTATATTGTTTTAACATTTGGTGTTCTGTCTTGTGAATGGGTGGGGCTTCTTAATCTGCTTCTACTTAAATCTTGGTGGAGAGAATCATATTTTGTTATGAGGTAAGGTTTCAGATTATTTGTTGGCACAACTCTTCCCAACTTAAAAAAATATTTACCAGTGAGAAGGCAAGATACTACTGGACTATTGGATGACTTTGTCTTCAGCCTATTGCCTAGCCCATTAAGGAGGGTTTGGCATGATGCTTGTCATTCCTTCCTCTAGCCAGCCTGGTGGGACACAGCCTTGCTGTCCAGGGAGCATGGGGCAGTCAGCCATGTGTTCTCCCTCGTGGGTGTCTCCTTGACCTTCTGGCTATGGCTGCCTGTAGCATCTGGTTCCTGTCAGATGTGTCCTCTGTCCAGGGACTGTGTGGTGCATTTGCTAGGGAGGTTGAATGTGATGATTTCATAGGACTTTTCCATCTCTAACATCTTGGATTGGTTGGAAATAACTCTGCACATGCATCTCAAGGCTTGCTTCTTGCTTTAGTGACTAAACAGGCGTCAAAAGAGAAGGGCAAGGGAGAAAAAAAACAGCAGAGGAGGTATGGACACAACTTCTTGCAAGTGAAACCAAAGTGCCTTGATGGAGATCACATAAAGCTCTTCCAAGAACACCCAAAAGTCTGTAAACAACTATTTTGCTTTCAGTGGACTTGCTCTCCCAGTTTCTGGATATACTTTTTAAAAATGCTTTTCTCAGGGGAAAAAAAATTCTCTAAAGCGTTTGTGATATATCTTTTATCGCCTCTGCAGGAACTTGTTCAATAGTTGCACATAAAATATTATTTTCTTTGTGAAATAAGGAAAAGGAAATCACATTGGGGAAGGCTCTGAGAGATCAGTGTGTTTTCAACCCACGGGACAACTGTTTTGCTGCCATATGGTACAACCTTTTTCATGGAGGAGGTGGGGCAGGGCAATGAGATAAAAGGTTCAGCTGGTTTTCTGGTAAATTTTTGGGTATGTGTGATGTTAGCTATCCAAACCAGTTTTAACATTGGCTCGAAAAATAATTGTGTTCAGCTGTTAAGAACGTTTTTCAACATTAGGGTCAGTAGTCACAGAGATGAGTATTTGGCCCCATCACTTGTTTTCTGGCATTATAGTTACATTGAATCAATTCTGTCATAAGTATGTTGGCTGAACATTCATCAAAATTATTACTTGTTGCATACAGCTCTCAACTGGTTCATCAATTCACAATGCTAAGTGGTGTGCAAAGCTCTTAGTCCTTGTCCCAGAGGCTTTGCATGGGAAGGCATCCTGACTTTCAGTATGTGATTTCTTACCCAAAAAATGCTGTGATCATGTAACTGAGGAAAAATTACTGTTTTTCTCTGTGTTGATGTTGACTGTTGCAGCAGAGGTTGCCTCCTTTTGCAGAGCAGAGGTGTGCCTTCAGCATAGTATTCTTGGTTCACAAGTCATCACAGCATCTTTTTATCCAGATTTGCTTGCAGATTTCTCAGTGTCATTTGACCTGTTCCTGGTGAAGCATTATGACTTATGTGGCCTTCTAGGAGTGGCATGTAAGCTGATATTCTCACCACGCTCAGGATTGAGAGCAATTTGGATAAGACTGAATGACTGTTTGCAGGCAATCACAGGAGTGTTGTGAAACTTGTGACTGAAGTCTGAATCAGCTCATTGCATTAGTCATTTGTCAAGCAGTAAATCTTCTCCCACACTTTTGGCTTTGTTTCCACATGTGGATCTCTAAGGAGGGTTAGGCCATCCTTGCATCCTCTGAGGGGAAGATGGAGCTTTTTTTGTTTTCTGCCTTTTCCGCAGCAGTTATGCTCTTCTTCCCTCCTGGATGCTAAGCTTTGCCAAAAACCTGCTATCCTGACAGGATTTGTAGCTGTTCTTTCTTGGCAGGAGTGTTGGGCAGGGTTGCGTCAGAGCACTTTTGGCCAAAAAAGAAGCTGGAACGCTTGTCAGTCAGAAATCAATTTGTGAGGCTCACTGAGCTTGTTACACTTGGAATTAATTTACATTTGTTCAAAATATTACCAAAATCACTGTATCTCTGAAATAATTTTTATATTCAAGCACAGTGCTGTGGCTTTTTTAGTGGATCTTTATACATCTGCCTCTGGTGCTGTCCCTTACCTCATGGTGATTCTTATAATTGGTACAGGACCCTGCTTCAGAGGAGGTGGGGAAAGAAAGGCTTTAACTTTGGTTAAGAGAATTTTTGTCGTAACCATTTTGCTCCAGCATCTGCCAGGTTGAAGTAAATCACAGGCACTGATTAGCAAATGCGAACTGAGAAGGAAAAAAGATGCTTTAATTGGTATTCTTCAAAAACATTGACGTTTGCAGATCAGGTCATCTTGCGTTCCCATCAGCTGGCCTGGTGTTCTACTGTCTGATAATCTGACTATACGCTTTATAATTGCCTATTTACTGTCATTCAACCCTCCTTTTTCTTAAGTTGCTCCAAGTTACCTTGGACTTTAGGACAATGATAGAACTTTTTATTTGGAAGGATGTAATCCCCTTATAAGTATTATTGATGCTGACTCTGACCTCACTAGCCTGATCTCACAGTTTGTTTACCTTCGTTTAACTTCATTTTAAATGCTATTGTTCTTAAATTTCATGGAGGGCAAGAATCAAGCCATCATTTTGCATCTTTTCTTTTTTTATGTTCTTGTTGTCTGTAAATGCTTTGCTCAAAAGGCTATTGCTGTATATGTCTGAATATCTTTAAGATGCATATTAAAGTATGTATTTCAAACATTAAATGCTTGTTTTGTCTCTGGGGGGTGTTTTGGGGTGTCCCTAGCTTCGTCATGCGGATGTGGTGGTATTTGGCAGTATGAAACCCGATGATGTTCCTGTGAGCGGGGTAAAGCCTGGAACCACCATTATCAGTTGTTCTCATGACATGCTGTCAGGTAAGAGGTGTTAAAGATAGCAGTTCCTACAGGTGATATGCAGCGAGTCCTTGAGATGTGTGTGGCATCTTGGTGATAATGCAATGTGGCTAAAAGCTGCATCTTTGGGAGGGGGCCTTGAAAGGTGTGTGTTTGTCTACAGGGGATGTATACATGTTTCTCTGATTTATAAATAGGAAAAACATGTCAGGTGGGGTAAGAAAGGTTGGAACAGATTCTTCATACCAGGATTGTTAAATAAGTGATGATCCTATGGATTCAAAGACTTCAGAGAGAAGACTTTTGGGTCATAAGATGAACTATTACTTAGTGCTGTTCTGTACAGTGTGTTATCCTGTGACTTCTGTGGTTTCCCCTGGAACATGTAAAAAAGAGAAGAAGGGGAAAAATACCAGCTCTAAAGTGCTGTGAAGCTGTCTGCAGAGAATGGTGCAGGAGGGAGTAAAGAAATCATGTATAGGTAAGAAGAGGCAGAATGTCTCCTGCAGCAATTATTCCTACAAAAGAGTTTGAATTCACCTCCCTCCTCCCTAGTATAACACAGTCTTACATGAAGGAGGAAATGAGGAGAAAGATAAAGGGGCAGAGAAGAGAGGGAGTGGTGTTACAGCAGTAGTACCTATAAATAAATAAATGAAAGGGAATCTCCCCTCCTCATTTAATACTTCTAAGCAGAAACCTCTTGTGTGTCAGACTTGGGGCAGAGGTGCAGGTCTGTTCTGGCAGGATGGGGATAAGCCAGTCCTTGCAGCCTGAGCAGGCACCACTAGTGACTGGACTCTCCCAGCACTATGTGTTGCCTGGTGCAAGTCCCGCTTTTGGACACCCAGTTCTCTCCTTCCATTGCAGAGGGAGTCTGAGCCTTCAGAGGCCTAAAATTTCTGCAATATATACTATGTCTTGAGACTTAAATATCTTCATGCCTTAGTTGCTCTATAGAAGTCTAGATAATATTAGTGTTTCCCTTCCCTGAAAGAGTGCTATTAGAAAAACTGCATTACATATCAAAGCAACATTCATTTTTTTGGGCATGAAATGTAAGATTTGGCATAAGCGTATACATTTCTTTGCATTTTTCAAGTTGTAGCAGTGGGCTGTGTTAAGTACTGCTTTTTTTTTTTTTTTGGAAAGGCAGCATGAGATTTTTATAATGATAATTTAAATAGAACTTATCTACCAAATGTCTATCTGTCTTTATGGTTATGCTTTTGATGTTGTCAGAACCTTGCAGAAACTCCAAAATTATAGCAGAAATGCATTTTAGCAGCTTTAAAAAATGCTGGTCTCAAAGCTTACTAGAAAGGTACCTGAAAGACAGGTGTCTGACAGGAAGAATGCACTTAGTTTAATTGCAAGATGTTTGTGAAAAGCCTATTGTGGAGCAGTTATGACCTTGGAGAAACAACTGAGTCTTATAACTGACTCTTCACTTTCAGGGAATCTGGCAGAGGTGCTTGGAAATTGTTCTGGATTTTTTCTTGCTTTAGAAATGTCCAACTTAACATCTGTGGGATCACAGGAGCTAAATGAAGCCTGAAAGCACTAATGGCCATGAAGTAACTTTTGTTCCTGCTAGATGGTGGCTGGATTTCTGTCTTAAATGAGTGTATATGTAGTCTGACACACTTGCATGTTTTAAAAGCACTCAAAATTTGCAAGGGCATAGGTGAACTGGGGAAATCTAATGATGTAAGCCAGGAGAGTAGAGCTAAAAGTGCTCACTCCAAAGTGACAAAATTCTTTTTCAAGTATTTTTTTAATCTAAGCAAAGATTTTTAAATTATCACAATTTTAAGATGTTCTAGCAACATTTCAAAAATTTCAGAATTTTCTAGCGGTGCGACATCTGCTGCTGTTGCACTAAGGATCTTGGAATCAGGTGAGTGCTGGTAGTGTCTTGCAAGAATATACTTTAAATATGAATGTATAGAAATGAAAATAAGTTTCTGAACAAAACTTAAGGATGCCAGAATTATTTGGGATTTGATATCCAGTTCCTTTGGGTTCACTTGAAAGCTTGAAGCCTATATGGTTTTAAGTATGTTAGTAGGAAATTCAAGCATTTCCCTACCTCTTCTCTATTCTAAGCTGCATGAGCAGACAGGTAGTACATGACAGCGGCTCTCACCCTTCTGCACAACAGGGTATAATTCAGAGGAGGGATCATAATGTCTGTAGCTGATCTGACCATAGTCCAAAGCAGAGTGCTATTCCAGCTCCCATCTGGAAAATTTATCCTAAGAGAGCTGTTGCAATCCTGTGATTGTCTTGCTAATTCCATGTGTGCATGACTTTCACCTCTAGCTTTGCCTTCACCCCTGTAAAAGCCTGGTTAGTCATTTGTGGGGTGACTGTGTAGCATAGCCAATCTGGGAGAAGTAGTTTATTGAAGGAAATTGTCTAATTCTGATATGTATTTACACACATGCTGGCTCTGCCCTGATAAAAAAGTCATATTAAGCCAAATAACATAAAAAGCCAAAATGTCTCTGTAAAGCACAGCTGTCTGAAAGGGGGTTTTAAACTCCATTTTTCCTACTTCATTTATGTTTGGCAGCTCTCCCAGCCTGGTCTCAAAGCAACAACAGTCAGCTTATGACTGTGATAGATTGTTCCAGTAAAGCTCTTCTGTCTGTATCTAAAGCTGAGCATCTCCAGAAGATTTTGTTGTTTCGTTGTTTGTTTTTTTTAATAGCAAGTGTAAATGTAAGTAGAAGGATTTTTCCAACGCTTTCTTAATTAGGGTTTAATATCAGGAGTGTTACCTTCTGCTTGGTTGCCTTTGTCACTGATGTATAGGTGCCTGTTGGCAAGAAAGTTTGAGAAAGGATTAGGAAACACACAGAATGAGACTGAGAGTGTCTGCAGAGAGGATCTCTTGCTCTCTCAGTGATGGATGTGACAGAGTGAGCTGGAGCTGAGTAGGGGTGGTGGGGTGCTGGCTCCTCTGCCTACCTCTGCCTGCTACGCTGGCTCCAGTCTGAGTTCTCTGTGCCTCACTGCAACTGGGACCCTTGTTGGGAGGGGTAATTGTGCAAGACAACATAAGTGTTTTATGACTAGTACGGATGGGGTGAGTAGAGGGAGAGCTTGACCAGGTCAGGGTTTGCACTTCAGTTCCCCTGTGGGGGAAAGGTTAAAGCTGTCAGTGTACAGTTGTTATTTTTTTATTACAGTTATGTCTACACCCTTCGGAATGCAGCTAGGGCCTTGATATGCCCACAGAGACTAGGATGTGAATTTTGGAGAAATTGTGTCTAGATAAAAATCAACAAACAATAACAGAAGAACAAGCCAGAAGAAGGATCACAGCAAAATGACAAAATAATTTGTTTGGTTAGGGTAGCTAATGTATGATTATTATTTGATATATTGCCACTAGAAACAATGATAACTGCCTCTAAAGTTGGAGTCACTCTGAATTGTATAGATTTTTCAGAATATCTACTTTTAATGTCACGTTGATGAAGATAACTTTTGCTGCTCAAAAAAATTCGCATATTCTGTTTCCAAACTATAAATCCCATTGGTTAATAATCCTATATAGTATTTTGTGATCATTTCATTGTTCTCTTTTGCTGTAATAGGTGTGTTGAGAAAACAGTCTTTACCGTGTTCATTTAGGTGTTCTGTTTAAGAATATGTATAGCTTTTCAAATCCTCACAGCTGTGCGAATTTTTTTATGTGTTTGTGTAATATGTTTCAGAGCATACAGTTACTCTCTGATTTTCACAGTATATCCATCCTTGTGGGTGATGTCATTTGAAGTATTAAGTAAGCCACCTATAATTTTGTCAGTAACATTGTTAAATTTCAAGTCAACATTCAGAAATTTTTTTATTTGGACATAACTTTCAGATACACATGCTCCCACTCACCAAAGCTTTGTGATTTATTAGTGCAATACTTATATTTTACAGAGAAACGCAACTACGGTCAGCAAAACAACTTTGCTGCAGAAAATGCTGTTGGTTCTCTTGCAATAGCAATGAGAATGCAGGTTAGTGTAACTTTTGTGTTGCAGATTTATTGCTCTTTCTGTAAGCTCTAGAAATTGCTTCTGCAGTTTAGATTTTAACTTTTGTTTTGCTTTTTTGAACATCTTACCTGCCTCCCATTTTAATAGCAACTCTTAATCAGATTAATGTAATGCCTGCTACATTTAATTAGAGAAAGGTAAATTAAAAATCAAATGTTATAATTCTGGTGAATACAATAAAGCTTGGCAGAAGCACTTGTATCAATAGACTAATGTCACTTATTCTGGTAAGACAGTGAAGATAGTTATATCTGTCCGTACTTTTGTGTCATTATGTATAGAGGGTTCAAAAGCTTGTTACTTAATGTGGAAGCAGTATAAGTCAGTCAATGAACAACTAGTATCTTCCATTATTTTTTATGGTGTGAGAGAAGAATAATAATTCTCCATCTTACCGGAATAAAATCTCCACGTGCCTAATTAGAGACTTTTTTCTGCCCACCTACGTGTTAATGGAGTTTTGTTTTCTTTTGAAATGTGGTCAAACAATATGACAGTGGTTTTTATTTTGTCCTAAAACCATGAAATGGAACGATTTTTAAGTTTGGGTTTTTTTGTTAGCCTTTGCAGTAGAAGTTATTTCAACATACTCTTGAGATAGTTTGAAATTAGTGTTCAGCATTTATGATGCAGCTGGTGTGTGCTGTTTCCTTGTTTAAAACCAGAACATGGTAAAAACCATGGAGCGATGGATCCGGTCCCATCAGTACAGGAAGTGGAACCTGCACTGCTTGAAACTGCAGCCCCTCTCCCCAGTGCCCAGGTAATAAGTGCTTTTAAAGAACTAAAATTTAATAAAATATTTAAAAAGTGGGCAAGTGTTAAATGTGACAGTGTTAAACGTGACAAATGTAAAAATGGCCCATGCCCAATTAATTTTTAATGTTATGTGGACTACATGTTGTGCTATTCTCTTGTATGCCTCATTGGGACCATATCCTTCTGTTTTCTATCAACTTTTACTTTTATGATGTGCATTGGAGTTGAGCTTTGTTTAATGAAGACCTATAGCTAGAAGGTTTCATTGAGGAAAGGAGTTGAAGCTTTCTGCAACATCAACAGAAATAAAAAATACATGAAGTTCCTAATGGCTAATGTAGAAAGGTGTTTAGTTAAGGCTCAGTGATTTCAGTATCATTTGAGTTTGTATTTATTTCCTTCCCTCAGCAGAAGTACTTTCTTCAGCATTAGACTTTTAAATTCCTCTGTGGGTGTGAAAACCAGGAAGCATATTTATTCTCGTAGCCAGAAGCTTTTCAATCAGTTCCTGTCATTCACTTCCCAAGGCCCGTGTCAGGCCACAGGGATTTCAGGTGTGCCTCGGCACAGCTGCTGACATCTCTGACATTTAGAGCAGCCTGAGCCCTTTACTGTGCTAAAGTGCTTTGCTGCTTGTTGGTTATGTTGGCTGATGGAGAGAGGAACTGAGTACTTGAGGTGAGATTCTGCCATGCCAGGAGTGTTGAAGTTTTTTTGTGCTTATTTGTATGCCTGCTTCTTGGCCATGCAGACGCTGAAGGGACCTCACTTCAGAAGAAACTCAGAGAGAGCTGGGACTGCTTAGCCTGGAGGACAGGAAGCTCTGAAGGATCTTATCAGTGTGTATAAATACAAAGTACAATAATACAAAGAGGACCAAGCCAGGCTCTTTTCAGTGGTGCCTGGTGACAGGACCAGAGGCGATGGGCACAAACTGAAACACAGGAAGCTCCATGAACATCAGGAAACACTTTTTCACTGTGAGGGTGACCAAACTTTGGCACAGATTGTCCAGGGAGGTTGTGGAGTGTCCATCATAGGAGATATTCAAAAGCCACCTGGACACAGTCCTAGGCAACTAGATGTCCCTACAGGAGCAGGGGAGTTGGAGCAAATGACCTCCAGAGGTCCCTTCCAACCTCAGCCACTCAGTGATTCTTTAATTCTGAATCCTACTGCTGTGTTTTGGGAAAGCTGTAACAAAATGTTTCTTCTCTAAGCATTTTGATTCACTTTTCACTGTTTTCTTATAGCAGTTGAATAGCAATGGACATAGTTGTAGTTTAAAACAGAGATGCCAAAAGAATGAGTTTTCTGTTGTATCTAGGGGCACAAGAGGGCAGAAATGCTTGTGCTTTTCCTGGGCCAGCATGTTCAATTTCTAGAACTAAAGCCAGAAAAAACTAGCCTTAAATAATACAGTTAAAAGTTAGATTAAAGTATGTGATGTCATGAGTATGATGGTAAAAAAACCCCTGGAAAAACATTATGCCCAACCCTCTCTACAGCATTGTGTGTTTAGTACATAAATAATTACATAATTAATATATAATGGCATATAATATAACCAGTAATAGGACTTGCATTTTTCTGTTAACTCTATAGCTTTATGTCTTTTCTTCTTTAAATGTAAAGAAATCCTTCAGATGGAAAGTATCCTGTAATAAAATGTAATCTTGCAGTAATAAACCACGTTGTGTGGAAACAGATGGAGTTTTCATTGAAAATGAGGCAAAGTTGCTTAAGCACTAAAACTAAGAACATCTGCTTTTTGATTTCTGTGAGATCTGGGTGTTAATTGAAGTATTTCCAAATCTATTGGATATGGAATGGAAAATTTTCTTACAAATATGCAGTAAAAAAAAACTCAGCACAGAGGTGAGTAGATGTAGAGCCTTCCCCCATCTTTTACATTTTCCTGCATTCTTTAAATTATCACTTACCATTGTCAGTGGTGGACTTCTTGCCTAACATTTTTCATTCATGCAGAAGAACCACTATTGCACATTTCCAGCAATACTGAATAATGTAACTTATTGAGTAATTCTGCTATTTCTAATATAGAGAATATATTGTCAGACTAAAAGAGCCATCTACAAATCTAGATTTCTAAATGCTAGTTGTAACCAAATCTTTTAATTTCCTGTGTTTTAGGAAAAACATTTACCAGAAATAATAGATGAGATACAAACATTTCATATGTTTTGTATAGCCCCAGTAGTAGTTAACATATAAATGTAAATTTATTGTTAAATTATGCCTTTTATCGTTTTATTACTTGTATCGGTGTTCAACCTGTCATTAAAGGGATTCTAAGTTGTTAAAAGTCTGGTTGCCTTGAAGGTTTTTGAGGGGAAAATGATGGGAAAATGATGACAGCAGTGGTTTTACCAAGGGATAACTGTTAGCATCCACTGTCAATTTTACTTGACTTCTAAAAATATATCTAATTTTAATTTATCTAGAAATTTTTTACCTTTTAATTTATTTATAAGTGTTCAACTTGGTTAGTTTCACTTCTTCCACTTTTTGCCAGTACTGGTACCTCCAGATTGGGAAAAACCTCGTTGTTTCTTCCAGGAGAAGAGGAGGAAGAAATGAGGGAAATAGGAAGGGCTGAGATTGCTGCAGGGAGTCCTGATAGTCTGGCCTGAGATTTGAAATAATAGCTTCTGTCTTTTAGTAGAGAGGCCAGTATATTTAGTTGGAGCTAAAAAAGGCAAATTAACTTTGTCATTTTAGTCTACGTCCTTCTCCTCTTGTCAAATGCTTCAATTACTTGATGAATAGAATAGTCACCCTGAAAATCTTCTGTGCTTAAATCTTTAAGGGACCACACTGTCATCAACTTACCAATAGTTTTCTGGGACTTTATATAGAAAATTCTCAATGAAAACTTGAGATATTCTTTGCCATATGATCTATGAAAGCCACTCCATCTTCTGTTCATGTTACATTTTTATGGCTAGTTGTGCTTGAAGTAATGCATAAGAAAGTCAAAGGTATATCCTTCTATGAAAGAGAATGAGCTTAGTATGTCTTTGAAAGAAAATGGATTCCAAGTTAGTGCTGTGATTGAGTAACTTCTTGTCCTGTAGTACTGGATTATGTCATTGCTTGGATAGATGGTTTCTGGGTTTCACTTAGCTGCTGCAGGGTGCAAAAGTGGGCTAGTTGAGAATTATAATTGAATAATGGTCCCAGTTTAGGATGTCCTCTGAGAATTGCAAGCAATTAAATTGGCACAGACTGATCGTTTGCTGGTGGATGCAGAAAACAGCCGAAGTCCACACACAGAGCTGAGATCTGCCAGTAGTTTTGTGTTCATTGGTGGATACTTAAGGTCTTGCAGACTGTTTGAAAGTTCAGGGCATTAGCTTTGATGCCATTGCCAGATTCTATCTTTAAAAATACTGTAATCAACTGAAACTACAGGAAGGAATTTAGCCTGGTTAGGCTGAAAGTATTTTTGAAGTTGCCAAAGGAGACAACTCCTCACATCTTGTATGCTGGGTCCTGGGCTTCACTGCTGCAGGAGCTAACAGCTGCCAAATGCTTATGTGGACATAATGGGCAACTAGGCCAAGCTCCCAAATGAAAAATCCATAAAGGAGTATTAAATCCAAAGACCCCTGGTGGTTTAGGTCAGGAATTCCAAATACAGTAGTGTCCCCTAGCCTACAGCCACCTCCCCTCAGGTAATCTATGATATGTGCTTGCCTTAGCTGCCACTCGCAGTCCTTGATGGAGGTATTCATAAGCTCACTGGATGTCTGGCCTGAGCCCTGTACTTTAGACTCCTCCTTTGTGACCATGCTTACTATAGCTGTGTTTTAGAAGAGCATGAGTTGGTCTTCAAATGCCTTGTTTCCTTTGGTACCCTCATGGGGGAGTAGCGAGGCTGAGCTTGCATGGCACTCAAGTATAGCTAATGTGTTTGCGTGACTGTTGGCCAAGGAATGTATGCACTTTTCAGTAAATTGTATGTGCTGAAATATGCTGCGAGGGAGGAGAAGAGAAAGAAAAACAAAACCAGAAACATCCATTCCAGTGGGACATGCTTGAGCATCCAGCAGACACGTCTCTAGCTTGATATGAAAGCATTATGTAATATTTGGAGTCTGATTAAACAAGAGAACTCTGTGAAATTGTAACAATTAACAAACACTGCACGTGATTTTCAGTGTTATATTAGGTGTTAGCTAATATTTAGGTTTGGTTAATAAAATGTGAGAGAGGATTGAAAAACTTGTTACAGTAACTCCATTGTTGGATTATTTGCTGTTGTTTTGTGTTCTGTCGTGGACCACCTAAGCTGAGAGAAATCTCCTGTCTCCTATTTGTTTTCCTTTCCAGTGATATTGAGATTTCCCGAGCACAGAGTCCAAAAGCTGTTGATGTACTTGCCAAGGAGATAGGATTGCTTACAGATGAAATTGAGATCTATGGCCAAACCAAAGCCAAAGTACGTTTGTCCCTGCTGGAAAGGTTAAAGGATCAGCCAGATGGAAAATATGTTCTAGTTGCTGGGTAAGAATGCACTGTAACATCATTAGTGTCTGCTCTTTCCACTCATATTAATATAAACATGCAACTTACATTTTTTTTTTATACACTGCACAAATAGGAATCCTGAATGTTTTCATCTGTATGTTGCTCTGTTCTGAAAGTGAGCAGATTTTGAGCTTTTTTGAAGTAACACAGCTTTTCTTCCAAACTGTTATTACTGAAGTAAAGTATATTTTATAAAAGGTAGTTTGTTTTATGATTCTGTGAAATGTTATCTTTTGGTGCATGGAGTTTTTCTTACCGTTTTATCAGAATTTTAATTGTTTAACTTGGATATTTAAGGCTGCTTGTATTGTGTCTGTTTATAAACAAATGTTAACAGAAGCTACATGCTAATCTGTTGATATTAACAATAAATACTTTTATATTGAAGAACAGATTACAAAGTTTAAAAAGCCACGTTTTTTCTCTGAAATGTAGACATGTCTCCAGGCAGGCTTATCCTGCTTGCTGTTCCCACGATTATAGCAAATGCTAAGCTCAGCAGGAATTATGCATTTCTCTTCTGAAAAGCTTCGGGTTTTTCTTGCATTCAGTGACACAATTTTTTCATTCACCTAGTTTACTAAGTGGAAACTTCTACCTGTGAACAAATGTAGGTTTTCATTAATATTTAAATTGCAATGTGTTGTTTATATTCTGCGTTAATCTATATGGTTACTTCGTTTTAAGTAAAACCACTCAGGTTTAAAATACAGTTTTAGGCTGATCCAGAAGGAGAAGACTGTTCTTAACTGCCTTGATCTACTGATTTCTCACCTTGGCTAGTGTTTCAGAAACTGTTTACTGTCTTCTTGTGGGGACACAGTGGATTTCTGGCACTGTCTGAGATGGAGCCATTGTAGACTGAGAGATCTGATGTTACAAATCTGAGGCAAGCTATGAAGCTTTCTTCAAAGCTGTGTGATAGAAGTGCAGCATATAAAGATGTTCCTGGGGATGCTGGAGCAGTTAAGAGAAGGAAGTAAATGCTGGTTGAGCTTGGTTTCTTTTGGTAGAGTTTTATTTTGGTTTGGGGTTTTTTTGCTGCATTGGAGAAACAAAAACATGTTCAGCATTTGGCTGAGTTTGAAGAAAGTTGCTGCCATGTATTTTCATGCTCATGTCGTCAACGGCATCAACTGGGCACCATGCTGCAGGATGAACCAGGCTTCTCTATCAGCAAACCTCTCATAGAAGCAGAGGTTATTTGAAAATGTCTGGAGATGCAAGATAGCACGTTGCAATGCCCCATTCAGGTGTATTTTAGTTGTGTCAGATTGCGCGCACAAGTGCTTGCGTTTCTTCACACTGCTTTGTCTCCCTGTCTTCTACAAAGAAGGTGTCTCAATCAATTTTTGTCACAGAGGAAAGCCTATATACATGTGGAAGAAATGCAGAAGTTTTGACTAGCAAGATGAGCAGATGGCAACAAATAGAAAATTGTATCTTCTTAAGTTGATATAACATGTACAAATACTGAATGGTGTTTCACAATCAAGGGGCTGAGTTTGGTGCCTACACAACCTGATGATGCAATATGTTGCTATTTTTAATGTCTCTGAAGTCATTGAATCTGGTGGGGTTAGTACAAAGCCACATCTGCTGCAGGAGGAGTGCTGGGCAAGGTAGCTATGACAGTGGGAACATTCTTCTGAGAGAGTTCAAAGCTTGACTTCGAAATATTTTTACATATAAAATATACATATAGTGTGTGTTTGTATGCTCTCAGCTGTTCTCATTTCCTGAAATAACTGTAGCATACATCAATGATGTTAAGAAAAGCATTTGATGGGGAAATATTCAGTACAATGAAAATCGAGTATCACTGAAGTGTGGAAATCAGGGAGTGAAATAGTATCCTCAGTTGCCTTTGTTCTCTGCCTGCCAAAGCAAGGTCAACCAAAACCTGCCATTTGGATTATTGTGTTTGTTCACAGTAACCAAAGATATTTAGAAATTCTTTTAGAATGATGCAGTATAGGTCTTCAGAATAAATTTTCAGTGCTTCAGAGGAAACATTTAAGGTATATGCTTATACTTCAGGTTATTTGGTCTTGCAGAAATATTTATAATGTATGATGGGAACTTTTCCTATGTGAAGGGAGTGTAAAGTGTGTGTGTGTGTGTGTTTGTGTGTGTGTGTGTTCAACAAACTACAAAATCTCCAACCTCCATCCATGATGCAGCCAGCAACATTTGAGCCTGTAATTGCACGTTTGGGTTTAAATGTTTCACAGTGTCTAGGAATTATAAATATTGGTTGCAAATGCTCTTGTAGTTTATTCCTGATATGCTAGAGACCAAACTTGGTGTTCTGAACAGTAAAATGCGACTAAAATGTACCTCTTTATCTGTAAAGATAGCTGTATTTATGGCTTTTTTAAAAGTTGCTGCTAACTTCAAAGTCTTTTTTGTTCTTTCTAAATGCAAACAAATATAAGTGCCTCATGCAATACAAACTTGTATGCTGAAAAATTGCAGTTTGATTAACAGATCGTGTCACACAAAAATAGGATGAAGACTTTATTTCTTCATAACTTTCATTTTGTTCTGTATGGAGAGCATTCCTTTCACTTCTTTTCGTTCTTGCTTTTTTATTGTCTCTCTGTTTGGCTCGTTATAGGGCTTGTGTTAAGACACCATGGGGACAGAGTCATGAGTTACCATGTAGTAATTGGTTCTTGGGCATTAACTGCCTATATACAGGCTTTTAGTGTGCTAAATAGTATGCCGCTGGATATGTTAACTCAAACTGCCTCCACTCATTGCAAGCTGAGAGCATGCAAATGAATGAAGCTTGTGCATGACCTACTAGCTAAGTTTAGTGCCTTGGGTAACTTAATCATGCATTCAAGAATGTAGATAGCATATTTGCAAACACAATATGAAATTACATCTAAAATTTGTTAGAGTGTATGTGTGTGTATATTGCAACATTTTGTTTCTAAATGCTCTAGTGGTGTGGCTTTTACCAGATAATTCTGGAAACACATTCACTTCAAAAATGCAAGATGAAGAATAATAGAATGTGGGAAAATTATGAAATATGATGCTACTTTTAGCAAGAAATATGCTAGGTTTTGAATGCTAGAAAATTTAAAATCAGTACTTTTCCGCTAGCAGTAATAGATTGGTCTGTGATGAACTACTTTTTCAGTAAGGTAGGAAAATAAATACTGACTTAATGCCTTGTACAAGCTGTATGATAGTAAATACTTTGGGAATACAGTTTTCAGATTTGGAATTGCATTTAACTTCTGAGAGGTATGTATTGGATTGTATTTCTGTTCATTGTGTTTCTTGGGCCAGAAGGCACTTAAAAGCTAAGAAAAAGGGAAAACATATAATAAAGGAAAAATACAGGGAAGAATAAGAGGGGAAAATAGCCCTTTGTTGATGCACTGAATTGTCTGACAGTCCAAGGCAAAGTCATGGTTGAGACAGTTTGTCAGGTATTCGTCATGTCATTGCGCAGCTCCTGATTGGGATTACCTTGGATGAGTCTTTAGCGGTTTTTAAGAGTTTGTAGTTGAGGACTCCTCAGTCTGTTCCTGTCTTTGTTTAGTCATTTTAGCTTCACAGTGATATCTATGCTTTTATATTTGGAAGTTCCAGTCCCAGATGAGGATGCCACTGCAATGGTGTCATAATGTCACCTCATTGAGGTGACAGTAGTTGCAACACTTCTGTGCTCAGAAATATATTTCTGACAGTTGTAATCTTGGATGGGATATGTATGTAGGAGGGAACTCAATTGCCCGTGGCCTCCACAGGGTGGTTTCCATGTGGATCACAGGAATTATGGGCTTATTAAAATCTTTGAAGCTGCTGATACCTATAAGTCTGAGGAAGGCAATTTAAAGAGAATTGTCACATATCCAGTAAAGTTCTTGCTGGAGTCACAACAGCTGGCATAGCCGTTGTGAGGAAGTTACAGAATCTCCCTGTTTGTTTATTTTCTCTTTGGGAGACCTCATGTAGCTTTCCCACAGAAACAGCTCTGCTGTAAGCTAATGTGATGTATAACAAACAAACAAAAAGTCTGCATATTCTTATCTTTATTTTGATATACATAAAGAGAGAAGGCTTTCAGTGTTATGGAAAACTTATTTTGCCAAGGAGCTGATGACTGCTTGGTAGGTGGCAGAGTAAGTTTTAGGGAGGAAAATGATGGTGGGGTTTCTGTGTTTTGATTGAAAACATATTAAAGAAATTTGAAGAATAATGCAAATGGCTGTAAAAGTCTCTTGAAATTCATTTAAATTTACTGCATTTTAAAGAAGATTTCTCCTGGAAAGAAAGGTTAAAAAACCACGTTGCACAACTGAGCTAAAGTTAGCCATTGGCAGTTGTAATTTTATACCCTTGTGAGTGAGTGACCTAAGCTACAAGAGTGTAGGTTCTGTAGTGTAGCCAGCAAAAATATTTCAATGTCCACAAAACAGCTCAAGTTGATTATTGTATTTATAAAAACTGATCAAAGTAGGCCAGGTACAAAAGGGAAGATGTTTTAAATAAGCATTCCAAGGGAAATTGTTGGAATAAAATTTTCTTTTAATTTCAGGCTTTTGTTTTGTTTTTCTTTTAACTAATATTTAAAGCTGAGGTTTAGAGCTGGTGCAGAGTATATCAGTGCACTGGAAATTCAGCAGAGGCAAGATCTCTTCCTGTCAGCTTAATCAGTGAACAATGGTGTGTTTCTCTTTTTGTTTTTTGGAAAAAGATCTGTCTCACAGAAAATTCACAGGACTTTCTGGCTCATTTTACCTAGTCATTTTAAAATAGGCCAGTCGAGTTACAAGAGCATTTTAGTAATGTTGCACTTGATTGTGTGTTATCTTCTGTGACAAATAGATACTATCCTTCATGCTACTACCAACATGCCTTCTTGGTTATGTATGTCTATTCCAATTTCCTTTCCTTTACTGGATAGGAGGCTGCATCTTTGATTTGGCTTGTTTCATAAGAGTTGTAAAGAGTCCCTGCCTTGCTGTGCATGCCAGGTCAGCCACCTGCCATGTTTTGAGCTGCAACTGAGTAAATAATTTAGTGATGGTGTCTCTGAATTCTCTTGAATGTGAGCTTCGTGTGTCTGATGCTCAGAAATAGAGGTAGCCACCAATAGGAAGCATTGCAAATACAAGTTGTTCTGTTAGTAATATAGACGTTGTGTGCACCGAGTTTTTGGGGTTTGTGTAAAGTTCTTTCCTGGTAACTTCCAGTAAACAATTATAGGTGACACTTTCATAGTAGAATAGTTTGCTTTTTGGTGTTTTGTTTTTGTTGCTTTTCCTTTTTGTTTTGTTGTTATTGTTTTCAAATAATTAATAGCTAAATAGTTTTTACTTTCTTAAGTCTTTGAGTGCAGTAATGCCTCAGGACTACTCATAAATCTGGCTTTAATCCGGAATAAGAGGATCAAGTAAATGAGATTAGGACAATAGACAAAAACTAATTAGATAGTAGGAGAACAAGGGGTAAGGAGAAACTATGCTAAGAATGATTTGAATGGGTGTTGGGAAACCAGTGTTAGAACAGTAGTCAGAAAGGTGAAACTGGTAGCAAAAGTGAGTTAACCTGGCTGTGAAAGAAGCATGTTTGTACAAAAGTAAGAATCCTAGGACAAAAAGGAGATGGCAAAAATAGTGATGGGAAAACTGGAAGCTATTGTTGTGGCAACAGGAAAACCCTGAGGGCTCCCTGTCCTGACAATGTAGAGATTGAAAGTATCCATTCTTCTAGGAACTGCAAACTTGAAAGTAAAAGAAATGAAGTAGGCTTCTGTGCTACTGCAGTAGATCAGAAGGAGATAAGAAGTCCAAGTACAGATAAAAGATGACAGGGACCAAAACCACTTTTGAGAGCAGTTAAAGATATGCTCCAATTCTCCCACCTTTTATTGGCTCTACACGGGTATGTTGCTAAAATTCTGTGAATTCCTTTTAAAGTCAAAGGAGTGCCATTCTAGCATGATGAAATAGTCTGGATAGTAAGTTATTGGCAATGTTTTAGAGTTTGATGGTTGGTGAACACAATGTCATAAATGTGGAAAAAAATTACTAAAACCAAATGCCCACATTAAGTACCCCATGTAATACATGGTCATATAAGAGCAGTTCAAGGTGAAGAGTCTTAGCTCAGGGATTCTCTTATAGATGCACTAAATTCCATTGATTTCACTGGAACTTTAGTTAAAACACTACTTTTCTAAATAGGAAATTTTTTTCCTAGAACAGTATGAAGTTGTTAATTTGACTTGCCTCCTGTTGCCCAAATTTTTCCAGACATACCTGACAAAGGTTTCTTTTTTTTAAAAAAAAAATAAAAGCCCTGGATCTGATGCTACTGTAAAAGATAGATTTGTGAAAAGTTAGTGTTTCTCATCTGTTTACATTTGTGGGACAAAGAATGGCTTTTGCCAATCTGTGAACTTACTGAACTAAGCTGAATCTTATGATTATACTAATGCTTTTATGCCATTTAAATTGTGATCTGAGGCTAGCAATATCTTGGAAAAATTACTGGTTGGGAAAGGAAGTGTTTCTAATTAGATCTAGATGTTTTAGCTCAAATTTTCAAGAGGTCATAGGATAAGGGTTCCCCTTTCACTACGATGTATGTGCATGCTTGTATTTCCTTGGGAATGAACATTAGTTCTTAACATCAGCTTCACCAAAGTATTTCTCTGCAGGTAGAGAATGCAGCAAAGATACGAATGGTTACACTTTGCTATACAGTAGGATTTGTGAGAATGATGTGAGTGGAAAAAGGACTGGGGTGGGGCTTTTGTCTTTTGCCAGTCAGAAAAAGAAATGCTGTGCCTAAAATGAATCATTTGAATGCATTTTGGAGACATGTTCGTACTTCAAGGAGGAAAAACAGAAAGAGGAGTAAAACTCTAGCACCCCTACACAATTTTAACGTGGATCATAAAGAAATGTGATGATGTTGGAAGTAGGAAGAACATCACTTAAACTGAGGTGTTTCTCAGTCACTGAAGGCTGATAAGTTTTCTACTTGCAAAATCAGCTGTCATTGTCCCTTCATTAAAGGGACAAGAATCGAGTGTTCTCTAGAGGCAAGAATACAGTGGAGGTTAGAGTCTTTGATTTGAGATTGGATATCTTTCTGAAATTCTGTTCAGTCTGGTCTAGATGTGGGAGCTGTAGCATGATGCTTTTGAGCTTTTGTGTGGACTATGATTGTCATTGTCCCTTATCACCCTGAAATTTGCAAAAATATCATGAAACTCAAGTGTAAAATAAATCATGTTAAGTTGAATATAGTGAATTTTGTGTCCTGTTTTATTTGAAAGGCAATTGATCTGTCATTATTGAGGGTTATGATGACATGGAAGCTGGAGAGGGATAGTTGAGCTCTACAAACAAAAGTGTTGGTTATTTAATTTAAAATATTCTATTATTTCATTCAAAGTTTGAGCAGTGGGAATAAAAGATCTCATGCATTACTACAGAAGAGTATTAATACATGCTTAGAGTGTTGTGATGGATGGTTTGTTAATGAAACTGGTGAGATTTTTGTGCTGTAATAAAAATGTCTAAATTCAATATATTCTTTTTAGAACTTTTGCCAAAATAATCTTCTCTTTTTCTGCTATCATAGTAAATTGCTTAAATAGAAGACACATGTATATTAGCATTTCGGCTTGAGCTGGGGGCTAACATTGTGGGGCAGTATTTTTGTGAAGATAAAGTAATCTTATTGAAATTTGCTGTACAAATATTGTTCATTGAAATCAAAAGCTTTAGGTTCAGATATCATTAGCCAGGCTGACATCAGCAAAGAATTTGATTAATCTTTTTTCTTGTTTTTCCAGAATAACACCTACACCCCTAGGAGAGGGGAAAAGCACAGTCACAATTGGTCTCGTTCAGGCACTTACTGCACACCTTAAAATTAATTCCTTTGCTTGTCTGAGACAACCTTCTCAAGGACCTACATTTGGAGTTAAAGGTACCTAACATTTGCAGAACCTATGACCTCTTTCAGATGAAAAGGAAATACTGGGTTTTTTTGTTTTTTTCTTTTATTTCTACTTTTTTAATTTCCTAATTACTTCACTCAGTGGATTGCCCAAGTGGTAGTATATTTGATTTTTTAATATGTATGTAACTAATAGCTAAAGGTGTCTTGTGTGCAACTTCCTGTGCAAGGTTCATATCTATGTTCATGCACTCAGCATGTATTGATAATGCAGATAAAGCCCAAACGTAATGAAAGGAAGAGGAATGTATTAGCCAGGAGGAATTTTGTGTGAGTACACACCCTTCCAGCCATCCCTCTACTTGGAGACTCTCTAAATATGTTCATAAATGTTATTGTTTAATTATTCCTTGAGGAAGAGTCCATACTGGATATTTCCAGTCAATACAACGAAGTCAGCAGTTGTGCGTATGGTTCAGCTGCATCAGCATCATATGTTTGGCTAGGTCTGAACTTCTTCTTTCTGTTCTCCTGAGCTGTCACCTCTATTCGTGGGCTGCTTCCTTTTTGCCTAGAAACCCTGAGGCCTGAGGGCCAGGTAAGACCAAGCCAGATTTCAAGCCTGTCTGCAATGCTGATAGGAAATAATGCAATCCTTTTTTTTGCCATTTCTCAGCTGAAATTGGTGCCTAACAGGGCAAGCACTCCCCATCTGCTCTACTTTGTTTTGCTGAAGTTTAAGTTAACAAGTTTGATTTCAGCTGGAAGGCTCCTGGTGCTTAGTGCTTCTCAGCTAAGACTGGTGCATGTGAGTGCTTTAATCCCTCCACTCAACTTGTGCATAGGCTATAGCAAATTTCTTTGCCTGTACCCTGAGAGGCAGGGGGGAAGGAGCACTTAGGCGAGGGTGTGAAGATTTCATTCAGAAGCAGTTCTTGCTTGTGACTGCTATGTCTTTCCACTCAACAACTGCATGTGCATGACTGTATCCTAAATCTGGGCAAGAGCAGAGGGTAGCCCTTATGTAACCAAAGCCTGCACCAGCCATCATGTGTAGGCTTTCATTTCAGATCTAGAATTCCCTTTTTACTGTCTGCTGAAAAAAGCCAGCAAGGTTAAGGAAATCCCATTTATTTGAGAACATCACTGATCTTTTTTGATAGAAATAAAAATACTGAAAATATGTCATCAACACTGTATGTTTCACTTTGTTTGTTTAAAGATGGGGGTTTTTTTTTCAAAACCAGTGGGAGTCTGATGAGACCATATGCTTTCCTGTGCAGGTGGAGCAGCCGGTGGTGGATACGCTCAAGTGATCCCCATGGAGGAGGTGAGAGAGCCTCAACTTGCATTTTGTGATACAGTTTAAGGAGCATGATGGTATTCAGTTGAAGGTCAGACTTGATGATTTTGGAGGTCTTTTCCAACCTTAATGATTCTGTGATATTCACAGTGCTTGTTTGGAAATGTGTAACAGTTTCACTTTAAGAGAAGTCAAGGGCTTATGTTGGTTGCTGTCACTACTCCTCCACAGAAGGCTCGGAAGTGTCATTAAAACTGACTTTCTGACTTCCTCTGTCAGATTCATAGAAATACAGTACCTATGTAACACAAGTCTTAATTTAATCTAAGATGCTGATTTTGGAGTTTTCCATAAAACTTTGTTGGTCAAACAATGTCGTGCCTGTGAGGTTATTAGCTGTTCTGCAGCTAGCAGAAAGCTGACATACCAAAAGCCCCAAAGCCAGTAAACGTGGTGTGCTCTGGGGGAGATTCAGCAATAATCCACACCTCTGGTCCAGGTCAATTAGTAATTATCAGCAGTAAACTGATTTAGTGTTAATTATGTGACACTGTAGCCCTTGGCTTCTTATTCTGGAATCATTTAGCAAAGAATGTTTTGTTTGACTAAGCTTAGGGTAGTTTACCACATACTCAGGTGGGAACAAGTCCTTCATATGGCTCGGTGTGTTTTCAGCCTGGAAATATTTAATCTACACAAAGAGGTGACTAATCAGGGCTGCAGCCTCAAGCAGATTGCTGCTGCTAATTTGTCTGAGATTCATAAATTAAATTAAATGTTTTCTTATTAAAAGATCTTGTTGCTTTCACCTTCTAGTTCAATCTTCATTTGACTGGAGACATTCATGCTATAACTGCTGCAAATAATTTGCTGGCTGCTGCTATTGATGCTAGGATCTTGCATGAAAACACTCAGTCTGATAAGGTGAGAATTATTTTCTCATATCCACATGACATTTTTTCTTCTTGGTTTTTCAATAAACTGCATTTCAAAGCAAAATAACTTGTTTATATTTTTATATTTTCACCATGCGAACAGGAACTATTGCTGAAGCCATTCTGTTTTCTGCTGTGAAATTTTCCTTACAGAATACATTTTTCTGGCAAATGGCTATCATAAGGTAGTCTTTAAGATAAGGATCTTATGCCCAGAATATTGACAACTATTTCAGACTGTACTAAATATTGTTATTAAGGATGTTTTCCCTATATATAATATTATAATTTTCAATAATTTGTAGACTCCACTTAAAATTACAAATTACTCTTCTGATGTGTAGTTGGGTATGATGTACCTTAAGAAGAAGGAGTTGTGGGGAAAAATAAACTTTTCCTCTGCTAAATCTATTGTGACCTTAAGACAAATGCTAACTTGAGTCTTCAAAGGGAAGGGAAAAAGAAAGGAAGGAGCCTTTTTTTTTGTTAAAACATAGAAACCTAGTAATTTTTGGTAATTGGATTTTAGACATAGAGATTGCTCAGAAACCTTCCACCTTATCAGAATTGTTTTTTAAATGGCTAACCAGAAGTCCACAACTTATGTGGTTGGAAAATTCTTACTGAAATTAGGTGGAATAAATTTGAAAAGAATTAGCTTTTTATAACTTTTTCTTTCATTAACTTTTTGTGTTTTTTTTCTAGTCTTTGTATAATAGGCTGGTTCCAGTAGTTAATGGCGTGAGAGGATTTTCTGCTATTCAGCTTGCCCGTCTGAGAGTAAGTTGTTAATATAGTCTTTCCTCAATTATAATTATGTGTGTATATATATAAAATTATATACAGTCTCTCTTCATAAAATGGATTCTCTTACACAACTTGTTTAAAATTATTTGATATATGGGGCTGAGTTTATATCAACCCTTATGACTTTTTTCTGAAAGCAACATCCTTGGAGTAATAGGATCTGGGTCTGATATTATTTTCATAACTAACATTTTTGCTATTCTTTTCTCCTGAAGTAAACCAGTAATGTTTTTAAATGCTGTGTCTTTTCTGATGAAATATTAATGTTAGAGGTTTTAAAATACTTTTCCTATTATGGTAGAGTCACGTTTGAAAGCTCACATTCTTTGGTTTTGCAATATTTTCTGGTTTTAAAATTCATTATAGCATATACTTGTGGGGTTTTATTGATGTCAGTTTGACAGTGTACTTCGTTCAAGGGGTAGAAGTACCTTTGTACATATAGTGTATTTTTGCATCCCATCTTGCTTCCTAAATGCCTCCAGAAGAGCTTCCTGTGCAATTCATGTATGAATAACTTATCTGGATTTGAGAATGCCATCTGATAAATACCTAGAGCAAAACAGTCCACAAGCGTAGGAGAAAGAGAATTTGAACCCCTTGAATGTGACTCTTAAGGACAGCTTCAGTCTTCTGTGTCCAATTTCATGTTTGTTGTTGGCTTATGAGTCCTGACTGGTGGTGTTTCAGAGTCGTTGGATGGCAATGGACAGCTGCCATGTGCACACGTGGTATTGGGGTGTGGAAAGGGGGATAGAGGTAGTACCAGCTTCTGTTTTGGGAAGGGAGGAAAAGAAAGTTCTCATAACATTGTAAGCTTTTGTGCTGCTCAATTGAATGTCAGTAAACTAAAATGTGGATGATGCCTGCTTGACTCTAAAACAGAGTCCCTCTCACAGATTGTTCTGTCAGAATTTTGGAGTGTTTTCATTTTGTCCTCATTTACACTGTTACAGGTAACAGGTTAGGGAAGGAGGGGAAGTGTTTCTGTTATTCATGACATACCAGTTATCTCTGCATTTGAAATGGATTTCTCTCTTCACATAAGCTGCAACTAAGTAAAAAATAGTTTGGCTCTATAATATTCAAATACATGCATCATAATTTCCAATATAACTGACTTATTTTGCTGTGAATGATTCTTGGTATAATGATTCCTTATATCTAAAAAAAAGTCCATTGTAAAAAAAAAAATCTTTATGGGATGGGATTACGTTTTTTTTGAAAGAGGATTATTAAGATTGAAACTCCTCACTTACATGTGTGGGGTTGATAAGCCAGAGCAGCTATACCATTTGAAGCAAATAAGGCATTTCAGTGTACTTCTTTAATTTCTTTTGTGTGTAGAAGCTGGGAATAAACAAGACTGATCCTGAGACTTTAACAGAAGAGGAGATCAGCAAATTTGCACGCCTTGATATTGACCCATCTACCATAACATGGCAAAGAGGTATGTAGTCAGAAAGCCTCACTTCAGCTTGGATTTTAATAACTTATTTCCTATTTTGCTTAATGTTACCTGAATCAGAGTTGTTTCTGCTCTCTGACTGTAACAATAACCAATTTGCAAGTGTGAAATGTAGGTGCATAACAAATGTGGGTGTTGCATATTGCTCTAAACTTGGCCAAATATCTGCAGTAACTCAAGAGACTTTGCTAAAATTCTGAAATACAGGTTTCTTTAAAAGTTTGAATGCATCCCTGGTCTCTCTCACATTAGGTAATACATCTTCAAACATATGGAAGTGTCTTTTCTGTGCATTTTACAAATCTTAGCCATTCTTTTCATAACTGTATCTATTATGGTTTTAGATTATTTGTACTTACTCTTCTTGATTTTGGTCCCTCATGCTCTCCAGCTCAACAGCCTGGGTAGCTTGAGAGACTAAATAGGCTTAAGGGATTATGTGTTTTTCTTATTTTTGAAGTGTCTTGAGTTGTTTGCTTCATTAGGAAGAAGAGCTAAAAGATGTGGTAAAATTGCCAAACAAACTGATATCCACCCTTAGGTAACTCCCTCTGCTTTTTCCAGTTCTAGTGCTGGGTCAAATTTCAGTGTTTACCTCAACTTCTGTATCTCTCTTTTTCTTTTTTAAGGAAGTAAACGAGGCATAAAGTTCTGAGCTAAATACCACTGAATTTTATTTTCCTCCTTGGTTCTTAAACACTGAAGTTATTAGTTCAAAAATGATTGTTAAATGGAATGTATTGTGATGCTTAGAGAAAAGGGTGAATCTGTTGAGAAGGGAGGAGTCTAGGTCATGCTTTACTGTGCCCTTTGTGTGCATGTCATCTCAGACTTGAGATATTTTTCTCAAAATAATTCTGAGGATGTGGCATAAGATGTTTTTTATTAGTCACACAGTGTGTCTGGAAGAGACCTGTATTAGGGTGAAGGAGTAATATAAATATTTAGTGTAATATGACTCCTCATTTTTATCAGCATGGGTTTGGGAGGAGGCAAAATTGCTCAACAGCTGTTAACCTCAAGTGAGTTATTTAATTCATCTCAAACAATGTTAGTGGAATTTCTATTCCACAAAGCTCTATATGATGTATATACCTTAAACATTTCAGAAAAAAAATACTGGCTTTAGGAATGTTTTAGATAACTTGGAAAATGTTTTATTTAGGACTGTTTCCACAGTCCGTATGTCTGTGAAGCTTGTTACGTATCAGGGAATTTGTGGGGAAGAAGAGTAAGCTATCAGATTTTCTGAAAATTAATTTTAATCAGGACCTGTTTCCATAGAAGTGTCACATGCTTAAAGTTCATTGTCATCTTATACTAACTTGAACACGTACAACATGCTGAAAAGCAGGAAAGCTTCCCCTTACTTACCCTTCCCCTGGTATTTGGATTCTGTTTATATTTCTAGAGAATAAAGAATTGGATACATTAAACCTAGCACTTGTTTGAAAATAAACTTTTGTGAAACGTTTGCTTTGGGTAAAGAAAGAGGGATAATTTAAAGAAGGAAAAATTGCTTTTGTGGCAAAACAAGTTATTTCTTATTTTATTACTACTTAGTGCAGTTATTGGAATCTTCTTGGAGAATTACCACAGTGAGAAAGTAAGTATATCCCAGTGACCAGAAGGAGTTGCAGGGGCAGTTACAATTTTATGGTAAGGGTGTTCAGGTTACATGATTTCACTAGAAAGGACCAGATAAAAAGCAGCCCACTGGCTGTCCACGCTGGTGGGAAGGCTAGTTCCTGCCCTCAGCAGTGCCTGGGTAGGCAGGAAAGACATTTAAGTCTGCTTAAGGCTGCTTGTGAGACTGAGCTTCCTAGAAGGAGAAGGGAAAAGTTTGTGCTTGAGAGATTAGCTTGCCATATGGCTTCATGGTGGCATATGGTACCACAGCTTGGTACAAAGCTACGGCTTCCATGTCCCAGGCTCTGTCCTGTAATTTCTGCCAGTATTGTAGTATTTTAGAGTATGACTGTATATAAATAGAAACCAAACTGAGTTAGCTGAATCTGTGTTGCACCATCCCTTAAATGGAATTCCTGAAGAAATTAGGGGCCTAAATACCATGTAGTGGAAAGAAGGCATGTATGGTATTTACAACTGCCCCAAGAGAAATGTCCAAGAAGGGGGGAAGTGCCTTAAACCTTGTTTTTCTTCCAGCTCACTCACAACCCTGAATTGGGGTTGAGTAAGATTGAGATTCAAAGTCCCTCTTGTTCTTGGGTAATTATCCTTTTCTGTACAGACATATTTGTTAATTTCTAAAAGCAGTGGAAGGAGCTGCTTTGCACAGACCTTGAGTACAGAGAACTTCTCTCGAGGTTCCTTGATTCTCTGCTTATAAATGAACACAACTCAAGTCAGTCTTTTAGTAGATGTAGATTTGAATGCCAAGCTACAGGCTGAACTGTTGAAAGTGTCTTCCCCCCTTTATTTTAGGGTTGGCGCAAATTGAAACATTTCTAGGACTACAGAGCCTGTAAAAAAGAAAGACTATTTTTACATTCTGTAGGGATTGACATGCCTCCTTGTCCTGTCACTACATGCCGTTGTAAGAAGTCCCTCTCCAGTTTTCTTGTAGACCCCTTTAAGTAATGGAAATTGCTACAAGGTCTCCCTGGAGCCCTCTCCAGGCTGAACAGGGTTGACTCTCTCAGCATGTCTGCATAACACAAGTGCTCCATCCCTCTGATCATCTTCATGGCCCTCCTCTGGACTCGCTCCAACAGGTCCACCTCCTTCTAATGTAGGGGGCCCCAGAGCTGGACTCAGTGCTACAGGTAGGGTCTCACAAGGGCACAGTAAAGGGGGAGAATCACATCCGTCAACCTGCTGGCTATGCTGCTTTTGATGCAGCCCAGGACACTGGGCTTTCTGGGCTGCAAGTGCACATTGCTGGCTCTTATCAACCAAGTTCTTCTCCCCAGGGCTGCTCTTGATCCATTCTCCACCCAGCCTGTACTTGTGCTTGGTATTGCCCCAAACCACATGCAGGACTTTGCACTTGGTCTTGTTGAATTTCACGAGGCTTGCAAAGGCCAGCCTCTCAAACCTGTCCAAGTCCCTCTGGATGGCATTCCTTCTCTCCATCCAGCACATCAACCACACTGCACATCTTGGTGTCATTGGCGAACTTGCTGAGCATGTACTCCATCTCACTCTCCGTGTCGCTGCGAAGATGTTAAATAGTGCCAGTGCCAATACCGAACCCCAAGAAACACTGCTCATCACTGGTCTCCACTTGGACACTGAGCCATTGAATGCAACTTTGAATGTGACCATCCAGCCAGTTCCCTATTCACTGAGTGGTCCATCTGTCAAATCCACTTCAGAGACAATGATATTATGCAGGACATCCTCCTAATGTTTCTTCCTAGGAGGCATCCTGATCAGTTCTCAGCAGATGAGAGCTCTTCGATTATTCTCAGTCCTTCCTTTTGGCTACTAAAAAGGCAGGTTTGAAGTTGAGTGTTGTAAGTGCAGAATTGGAGAAATTGGCTTGCGATGATTATTAGTGAAGTTTGCAATTCTGCAAGATGATTTGGACATGCCCTTGCAACACCAAAAGTGTTTCCAGGTTAGAAATACAATTGTCTGAAATTGAAGTTGTATTAAATAGCAGATGGTTTATCTTGACAGTTGGAAAAAAAAAATCTTCCTTTGAATGCAGTGCAGCTCAATGTGGAGTTAGTTACTGTGATGTGTGTGAAAGAGACTTGTCTAGAAGAAACAATCTGACAACATAATCATCCTTTAAAAGAGAAACAGACCAAGTCTCACCTACAACATGCAGTCTTAAAATCAATTCTTAACAAGTCAGTGATGAGGGACGTGATTTGAAGTAGGTCTGGTGCATTGTATCGACTAAGAGAGATTTATCTTATGTAGGTAAAATATTAAGTTGTATGTTAGAATATTAAGAACCTGTTACCTCCAAATACTGTTCAAATAAATTGTACTTGAGTTGTTTCAACCTGTCATCTAATAGGATCAACTAGAAGGGAGAAAACCAAGTCAGTGCCCACATGCAGGAGTGGGGCTGTCTGGTTACACAGTTTGAGTAGTTGAATCTTACATGTATAGCAAGAGGTATGTCTTGAAAAACCCAGGTCCCCAAGTCCTTGTTAACATGTTTTGCTTTTGCTATTCCCTTATTTCAGTGGTGGATACAAATGACAGATTCCTTCGCAAAATAGCAATTGGACAAGCAAGTACAGAGAAAGGATTTGTCCGTCAGGTATGTAAAGGCAGTTACTAGATCACATTCTGAACAGACTTTGTTTTAGAGGCTGAGAGATGTTTCTGCAATTCTTTCAGCATACTTTGAATTGCAATGTTAACATCTGTTGCTGTTGTGTAGTAATCTTGCAGTGAAACTGATTATGTCAATGAGTAACTGAGTCTGAAGTTTCAGAAACAGAAACCAATGCATACTCCTCAATGTGTTGAAAGCACTTGAAAAAATTGCATATGTTAGGGGCTTAACATTGTCCTATGACTATAAGAGGTGCCTTTATGCCCTCATAAGGTTAATTTGTGTGATTTTTTCTTACTTTTTTTAAGTCTCTCTAACAATATATGTAGGATACTTGTAATTTAAATTACATTTAAATTTAATGTTAAAAATAGTTTTAAAATTAACTTTTTATTCAGAGTTTTCATTTCCCTCTCATGCATCTCAGCTTTAGAATCTAAACTGTAAGAACCTTGAGCATGTGCTTGCTTTTACTATGTGGACTTTAAGGGATAGTTCAGCAAATAAGTATGTGCATACTTTTCATTGGTGTAAAAAGCTAACCTATGTTACTGTCTAAAAACTTCTGGAAATTTATTAAAGAACTTACTGATAAATTGAAAGCCAGATTTTTCTAACACCGTCTGAAGAAGTATTCTCGTGTCATGTTGATAAATCCTTTTCTGAAACAGGGATAGCAGTGTCAGGTGGAACAAACTCATTGTGATGATATGGAGTTGCTCCTAAATCAATAAAGATCTTGTAATCTAACGTTCTGGATCAGGAAACTCATGAGGGTTTGACTGTTTTGATGTGAATAGCTCTTGTGGCAGAGATAAGGCTTTCACGCATTTTGGAAATCCTAGCTTTAATTTTTCTTTATCATTTCAGACCTCTTCTAGGCCTTGTGCCTAAATAAAGAGACCAAAACATAGTGCTGGTTTTTTTGCTCAACTCAGCAGGTAAAGCAGTCAAATCGGAGAGAACAACTTCAAAGAGGAATCGTAAAATCCTAGAGTGGCTTGGGTTGGAAGGGACCTTGAAGATCATTTAGTTCCAACCCCTCTGCTGTAAGCAGGGACAACTTCCACTAGAAATGCCTGCTTGTTTTGGTTTTGAACACATAGAATAGAAATTTTTCTGTCTATAGCTTACAGGAAACTCAGTATTAGCTAATACTCTTCTCTGATAATGGGCTGGGACTACAAAATATTATACTTGGTATGAGTTCCTTCAACACCTGAGGCCTTTTCATATGTTTAGATTTGTTTCACTGACTCAATGTGATTATTAGCTTTAAGCCAGGTTTTGCCAGCCTTATTGTGCAGCATTTTACCACCGTAATTGTACTGCTGAGTTAAACGTGGGCTATTTTATTAATGAGTTCTAGTTGACATGTGGCTGTCAAATGTTGCTTCTGTACTGTTTGGGCTAAAATTAATGCTTTCAATATCGATATGTTGACTAATGCATATCCATTCACATTTTAACATGGACTTAGTGACTCAAGAAATAGTTAATAATGGCCAGTCTTCGCGAACGAAGATTTTGGGAAAGGTCTTTTACCTTTCCAGCCTGTGCAATGGATTTTTTAGGTGAGACACAGCCTGCGCTGAACTGAGCCCACCCTTTAATCCTAAGGTTCATCTGCCGGGGCCAAGCGAGCTTGGACAATGGCAGTGAGGTCCTCAGGACGTAGGTTTGTTTAGAGTGACCTTCTCATAGATGGATGGCCTCACAGGGCTAACAGGCTCCATCTGCCTGGGGGACTGGGATTCGAACCTGGGTCGCAGCAGTGAGAGTCCCGCATGCTAACCACTAGGCCACCAGGGGTCCCTCAAGAAATAGTTAACAGTTAGGAAAACTCATTTCAGAGCCTAGCCAGAGATCCAGAGAAAACAGGACTTCATAGTTAACAGATGCATTTTATAAATATTTGGGGTGATGTTCTAGCACTCCTAAAATCAATTACACCTGTGTAAAATGGCAGCGCACAGCAGGCACAAAAGTCTGAATTTTAATGAACAGGGATACTGTGGTTTCTAAAGAGTATTACATGACTGATGCCCTTGATCCTGCAATTGAATCCATGTGGGTGGATCCTTTCATCAATAGAAAACTGACTTTACAGCTAAGGCTTCTGTCAGCACTTCATAGGTGTATAAAGGTTATTAGAGTTAAAATAGCACCTGCTACCACTGGGTTTTGTGCCTGTTTTTTTCCATTAAATTTTATGTCACTCTTTGAGCATCTATGTGGGATTGTTTTTCCCATCCTTTTGGGTTTATATAGAAATTTTCAAACCATGACACAATGATTATAAAAACTTTTAGGGGGGGGTCCTCTGATAAACATTCTAATAAAGATAGACTATATTCATACAGGTTGGGCACAGATTTCTCAGGCTTATTTCTTGTCTTATATATGCTGCAATGACTTACTGAGGACATTCTCTACTTCAGAAAAGATAGTAGTATCCATGTCATCACAGTGCTAACAATGTTCATTGCATATAGAACTGCTTCCAGAGAATACAGAAAATCTGCTTTGTAATTTCAACATTTCATTTGAATCCCAAACTGAAAATCTCAGTTGCAGAATTACTTTTCTTTTCTGTGGTATGTATGTCTCCCTGCCTGTGCCCAATACAGAAAAGTGATCAAGTGTCTTCAGAAGTTTTGACTAAACATATGGGTACATATAGGTCAGCCTGAATAGGGATGCTCTGGGCTGTCAAGACAAAATCTAAAAGCAGGAACATAGGTTAAAAAAGGGCAGAAGCTCTTAAAGCAAATGGATAGGAGTGGTGGGTATATGTTGAACAATTCTGTATGTAGGTGCTTCTTAGAAACAGGCAAAACCCTTGATTTAAACAGATTCCTCTGGTAATAGTCAGACACATGTATGGGGTGCATCTGGTAGAGGTCTGACAGAAACAGTCCTGGGGCTTTTTTCTTACATAGATAGCAGTAGGATGTCAATGACTAAATTTTTGTGTAGACTTTAATTGTTAGAGATGGAAAGATTGCTAAAGAAATTGCAGTTCTTGATCCCTGCCAACATTGCCTTCCTATCGTGTAATACATTAGTGGCTTTTCCTTTCTTCTCTGTTTATATTCTGACAGCATGTGACCTGAGCTTGACTAATAGTAAATTAGTACAAATACTACTGATGTATACTGTAAGTTCTTAAAGAAAAATAAATACTATTGCTTTCATGTAAGTACTGAAATGCTGCACAGGATGAATTGCACAAGAGCAATAGAACTGATGCCACATATAATTCTTGACATTTTTTAACTTCTGTATTTGTTCACTGAGAAAAAAAATGGGACAGAGACATATTTTACATTTTCATAGGTCAAGCACAAGACCTAGCAGCGTAGACTCTAAATTTTGAGTCTGTGTAGAAAAAAAATGATCAAATATAACAAGAATGTTTTTGAAACCAGAGTAAAAAGCTTTTGGAGATCATTACAGGGGAAAAAATAATTAAAACAAAACAAAAAAACCTCTAAACTGCTTTGTTCATGCCTGTAAAGCTGAAAACACATAAACATATCTGGTGATTTTCTTTTTTTGCCACACAAAAAAAAATCTTGGTCCTTCAGGGAGCTTCTCTAAGGATAATGTGAGGCAAGGGGCTAAGCAGTCTGATAGACTGCTCCTCAAGTAAATGGAATGTAATGGAGAACATTATTGAGGGAATATAAAATGTTTGAAGTTCACAGAGTCATACAATATCCTGAGCTGAAAGGGACCCATTGAAGTCCGGCTCTTGGCCCTGCACAGGACAGCCCCAAGAGTCACACCATGTCCCTGAAAGGATCACCCAAATGCTTCTTGATTTCTGGAAGGCTTGGTGCTGTGAC